ACTCTGTTCAGGCCACCTTGAAAATAAAGGTGTAGTTGGCACCTTGCTAGGTATAGAGACCCAGGGTAGCTATAGTGCAGCTACCAGGTATAGTACTTCAAGTTCCCTTTCCGTCAACCGCTCGATAGCCTCTACGCACAGCAATCCACAGCTTTGAAGTCTCATTCGTGCTTTGAACTTGTGTAGGTGTGTAAGAGGTATAGCAACATAGTATTTATACGGACCCAGGCTAGCTTCAGAAGAGCACTCCGATACTTCACTTACAGCACTCCTTGAAGAGCATGAGTCGCTTGCGCATAGCCACCAGAAACAAAAAATCTTAGTCTTACTGGAAGTGGAATGAAACACCAGGACCTTCAGAATGACCTCTTTGGAGTCTCCAAGTGACCTCATTCGGGACTAAGTGACTAAGTGACCTCATTCTGGGATCTCGGACGGTCACTTTGAAGGTCCTGGTAGACACCAAATGATGTCAATGTGGATAGATTTGGCTACGGCCTAAAACATCGGATTCCATCCAAACCCCCCCTGTGCAGAGGAAAAATCCGGGCAAAATGACACCGAACCCCTCAATTGCCAGGAAGCGCAGGTTTTTGTTTTGACATGGTTACCTCTGTGTGGGCAGAACAAGACATGAAGCAGATTTGACACGCGGCCGCAAGCAGCTGCGCGAGCTCATTTGCTTGCTTCGACGCGCAGTTGTCGAGAAAGGGAAGCGCTGGCTTTCGTTTTGCAGCTTCTCAGGTTTGCAAAATTGCCAAATTCAAGAAGTTGAGAATTGCAGAGTTTTGGTTTCTTTGACAGAAACAGTGTCAGGTCGCCTAACCAGTAATCTGTCCCATGGATGCCGGCTGCCCCTGGGACCCCCGTTGGCGGGGAACGCCCTCGGCTCTCCGGGGGGGCTGGTGCTGCTGATGCAGCCATGCAGCCGGCCGATGATGATGATGACCCTATGCATGGGGGGCCGATTGGAGCTGCCCGGCGCCTGGCTGCGTCGCCGCGGCTCATAGTGGCCATGCGGGATGGGAGACCTTTACCGGCCTCCGGGCGCATGTGGATGCCCACATCCTTGGCCAGATTCCAGGGGCAGTTCCAGCAGAGTGGTTGAGGGCACGGAACATGGTCTCCTGCCGCGAGTGCTCCAGACTGGTGAGCCGCCGTTGCAATGGTGGAGTTCACCGCACTTGTGTTGCGGATCGGCTAGCTGCGCGCCCTCAGCCTTTGTCTCTCCCTGGTGCTTGCTTGGATGCAGACTTGGACACAGTGCTTGGCAGCCTTCCTTCATTGGATGACATTTTTTCGGCTCCGATTGGCACTCGTGACTTGATCAGTTCTGCTCTTCTTCCCTCTGCGCAGAAAGAGTTTCTCCGATGCATCGTACAGGTCTTGCAGCACAACACGGCGGATGCTTGGGCCGACCCTGGTGGCCCTGCCGACACAGCACCACGCAAGCGGTGTCGTTTGGCTTGGCTGGAGCTTTTTATGTTCTGTAAGACTTGTTTGGCTGTGCTGCCTGGTGGTGCTGCAAAGCGCCACCGCAACCACAACATCAGCTCTAACCGCCTTGAACGGTGGGCTCTTGGAGAGCACCGGAGCTTGTGGGACGAGGTTGCTTCCCGCCGTGGCGCGCCTCGACTGGATCGCCACCGACCTGATGAGGAGAAGCAGCAAGCAGCCCGCCTTGTCGCAGAGCAGTTTGCTCGCAGAGGCATGCCAGGCAAGGCAGTGCAACGTCTGGCCGGGGCTCCAATTGCTGCCATCACTCCGGCCACTGTTGCCGCCATGCAAGCCAAGTTCCCTGCTCGCCCGGCCCATCAGGCCACTACACAGCGTGCGGCAGCACCGCCTGCCAACGACATAAGCTGTGATGATGTTGTGAAGGCCGTGCGCTCCTTCCCACGTGGTGCTGCGCCCGGGCCCTCTGGCATGCGACCGGACTTCCTCAAGCAACTTGTTGATGCTGGGGATGAGCAGTACGGAGCCCAGGTCCTTACAGACTTGGTCAACCTCCTTGCTGATGGGCGGGCCCCCATCGCGCTGCGTCCTTACCTCGGTGGGGCTCGTGGCACAGCTTTGGAAAAGCTGAGCAAAACTGGAGCTGCTGATGTGCGGCCTTTGTGTGCAGGCGAAACCTTGCGCCGCCTGGTCGGCAAGGTCTTGCTGCGGAGTGAGCTCCCTGCCCTGCGGGCACACCTCTTGCCCCACCAGCTTGCCGTTGGAGTGCCGGCTGGGGCCGAGGTTATGCCGCACTTATACCGGCAATGGCGGCAACACTACCAAGCCGACACCGACCGAGTTTGCCTGTCTTATGATGAAGGGAATGCCCACAATGTGGTTGATCGGCATATGTTTTTGACGCGCATGCAAGAAGTCGCCCCTGGTCTTTCCCGATGGTTGGAGTACATTTATCCTACCGACATTGACACCAAGGTCTTCTTTCAGGACGTTGTGATCCCTTCTGCTGCAGGCGGCCGACAGGGGTGTCCTTTGATGACGGCATGCCATGCGGTTGTGCAGCGACTCTTGTTGGAGAGTCTGGGATTGGCTACCCCGCCTGCTGGCACTGCTGTGGCGTTACCCACGCTGCAGCCACCTGCGCAATTAGACATGGCACCCTGTTATGCGGACGACGGTCTTTTGGCCGGGCCTTCTGCTGAGGTATTGCGGGCCCTGCAGCATTGGTCCACTGTTATGCCTCGTCTTGGCCTTCGCTTGTCCACTGCTTCCGTGGCGCCAGTTGCTGGGATCCGCCACCAGGTTGACTTTCGGCCTTTTGCTGCCTTGGGTTGTTCTATTTGCGAGGATGGCAACTTTGAAGTCCTCAAATCACCTGTTGGCGATGCAGCCTTCAACAAGGCGTATTGTTTGCAGGGAGCCGCCCAGCAAGCCACTACAGTGCAGTTGGTTGGTGGAATCGAGGACCCTCAGGTTGCCTATTATTTGTTGCGGTGGTGTTGCACTGGTGGCCGGATGAATTACTTGGCTCGCACCACTCCAGCTCAGCATTGTCTTCCGGCCATGGTGGCCTTTGACTCGGCGTTGCATGATGCGTTTTGCGCTTCCACTGGCTTGGCATTGGACCGCCTGGCCTGGCAACAAGCTCAGCTACCTGTTGCTACTGGTGGTCTCGGACTTCGCTCTGCGGTTGACCTTGCGGATGCTGCTTACATTGGCTCTCGAGTCATGGTTCTGGATCGTTGTCGTGCCTTATGGACGCTTGCCGCTTGGGAAGGCTCTACTGCAACCACAGACCTCGGCCTCGCTCTTGCTCGCTGTAACGGTCTGCTGCAACAAGCTGGTCTCCAACCCTGTTTGGGGGATCAGCCCGGGCGCAGCTTGAGCCAGTCAGCGATTTCACGCCGCCTGCGAAAGGTCCATGTCTTGGCTTGGAAGACTGCCGCTGGCACCGATGATATTTGTCGCCTTCATGCTTGTGCTGCTGATTCTGCGGATACGGTCTTGAACCTGGTCCCGTCGCGCATACTTGACACCAACCTCTCCAAGGATGACTTCCTGACTTGTGTCGGTGGTCGCCTTGGCGTCGATATGTGCACTGGGGGCGGTGCTTGCCGTTTTTGTGGTTTGGCCATTGATGTGAAGGGGCGCCACCCACAGTCGTGTATGGCTGGTGGTGATGCTGTTGCGCTTCACAACAGTCTGCGGGACCTCTTGCACAGCTATTGTGCTCGTGCCCAGCTCCGCCCCCAAGCCAAGGCTCCTGGACTCTTGGATGGACGGCGGCGGCCAGCAGACATCTTCTTACGAGGTGCAACTGGTCTCCTTCCAGCACTGCCTGATGGCTCCCGCCCTACTGGGCCTAGTGCTCTAGCCTTGGATGTGGCTATCATCAACGCCTTGGGAGCGAGTCATTGGGACGACACTTTGCGGGGAGCCCATGATGCAGTCACGGCCTATGCCCAACGCAAGCGTGACCACCTCGGCACCGCCAGCTCGTGCCAACAAGCTGGCATCCTTTACCTGCCCTTGGTCTGGGACATTCAGGGCGGCAGCACGGCCGACACTCGAGCCTTCCTTCACCGCCTTGCTGGCATGGTTGCTGCAGTTGAAGGGGTTGATTTGCTTGTGGTGAAGGCCCGCCTCTTTGACCAGCTTGCTGTTGTGCTGGCTCGAGGGGCAGGACGTGCGCTGCGACGCCGGCGTCGCGCAGCCGGTGCGACAGCGCACGCTCCCGGCCTTGTCGCTGGATTGGTGCTGGATCCTTGATTCACAAGTTTGTCTCCACCGAGCCAGTGATCACGGATGCTTGTATACCTGTGGTAGGCCAACCTCAGCAGCAGCTTGTCCTCTGGCTATGCTTTGGATGTTGCACGAATCACTCCTGCACTTGGTACTGCTCGCCTGTTGGACGTTCTTGTCGCCCTGACTCTACCGCATTTGCTTTTGGCTCCGCTCCTTTTGACCGCCTCACCTTGGCCTTCCTCTGAGTGCATCCTTCCAAGAAGGGTTTGCGCCCCTTTTTTTGTGGCTGTATCACACGCATGTTTCGACATATTTCATTTCTTGTGCAAGGTTTTTCCCTTCCAAGAAGGTTTTCCTTGCTAGGTGGCAATAGCCAGTGACTGTCATCTCGTACGTCGCAGGCTCAGTCTTCAGGACGCTCGGTCTTTAGCATGTCCTGAGAGAGCACGGTAAGAGTTCCCGGCCCAGAGGTCGGGGACTGCAGTGTCTCCCAGTCCCCCGTCCCTCTTGATTCTTCAATCTGTCGGAAATCGGCGTTTTCTTGTGCAGCTGCCCTGCTGGTGCTGGTCCAGGGATGACACCATGTCATGCCCAAAATTATATCATGTCATGCGAGGGATGACAAACGTATACGCCCGCTATCTGGGGTCTATGCCGGTGTAATTCAAGTGCGGGTGCTGCTACTGCCGGATCGGGGTGGGCGTATGGGTGCAGGTGCTGGTGCTGGTGCCGCTACTGGATCGGGGTTTTCCACTGATCGACTGTGTTTTGGAGACTTTGCATCGTTTCCCTTCGTGGATGACATGATGTCATGCCAGGGATGAAGTCATGTCATGCCAGGGATGACATCATGTCATGCCAGGGGCACTGCAAACACTCGGAAGGTGTTTCCCATGCCCGAATGCCCGAATGGCACCGCTCATTGACAACGAAAGCTATTAGACATTGGAAATTTATTTTCCACAGGCACTATGAGTTGTTTCCCTATACACCCGCTATGGGCCACTCCTGTCGCATCCGACGAGAGGAGATGGAGTCTGAGGAGATGGGTATTCCATCGCCCGATGTGGTGAGCTACAGCACTGCCATGAGTGCCTGTGCCAAGGTGCCAGTGGACCAAATGAACAGAGAAAGGTCTTCCAAATCTTCCACTCCCTATGGATCCACTGCCACATTCTCAGGTACGGTGAGTGCTTTCGACACTTTTACGTAAGCGCCGGGGGTCGGGTCCAGTGGTACTTGAGAAGGCGGAGGTGGATCCCTATAGGGCCTCTCCTGGGAACTCTCCTGGACCCTGCTACCTTCTGTCATTTGTGCCTGGACGCCTACCTGGACAACCCATGTGGTGACCAGCTGCAAAATTCTGACTCCCGACGTGGCACCCCCAAAGGCGTCACTGGCTGGGTCATTGGCTGGGACCCTCAGTAGTAACGAAAGGAGTACTTGACACGACTGGTTCAGGCAGGCAACTGGGAGATGACCTTGGGTTTCTTCGTTTCCATGCAGCAACGCTTCTTGGCGATATGCAACTGGTGGGCAGGTAGATGCCAAAGCGAAAATTCGAGATGTTTGGATGGGTTTGCATTATAATAGGGAAATCCCCACCAATGAGTTGTGGTCTATTTTCCTTCTTCTAGGGGGTCGAAATGGGAGGTCTCCCTAATATTCTAATACAAACCCTTGTCAACAAAGTGTTCAATGTGTAAGGTACCAGGGAGATGTAATTAATTGTAATTAGTAACAGTGTGTTGTGCACGTGTTGTCTAATTACAGTATCACCAGGAGCTGTCCTACTTTCAACAAAATCCATTGTTTTGCCCGGCGATTGAAGGTCTAGATGGTTCAGAAATCATCAGACAATCACAGTTGTTCTTTGGTAACTCTTCTCTATAGCTAGGCCAATTGTTGTATTATTTGATATGATACCTGGATTTTGCAACTATGCAAAGTGATGCCCTTTGGCTGGTTTGATATGAAAAGGAATGAAGATTATATAAATGTTCAGGAAGGAGAAGATCCAGGTATAAATGATGTGTTTTCCAGCCCAGAGGATCGCTTCAGTGTTTGGAATCGTTTGTAGGAACGACCGAATGAACAGGTCCCCTCGGACTGGTCCCGGTCCCTGGGCATGTACCTCAGTACCTCGGTACAGTCGGACTGGGTCAGTCGGGTTCAGGTGACCTGGAAGATCCTGCTAGCTTTGACTGGAAGAGGTAGAGGGTTTAAGGTTTTCTCCTGCAAAGGCTCTTAAACATTCTTTGATGATGCTCAATCTGCAACAAAAACCCTGGTATTGTTCGGAACATGATGAGGGACATATTCCAGGGTAGACTTTCTATTTCAACAAAACCTGGAAGTTTGATTTTCATGCCTTTTTCGACAACTACTTTCAAAGCTCAGTGTTTGTTAGGGGTGACTTGAACTTGTCATATCTCATATGTTGTCTACTTATAGTGAATCCAATTGTTCCAGAATATCTTAAGTTCAATTCCCAGACAATCCATGGGACTGGTATATTTACCTACCTTGAGGTGGGCCTACGTTGGAGTCAATTGAGCATGATATGACAGCATCGGTATATGCAGTGTCTGGGAATTGGGTTTCGGTGGATTCATCCACACATCCAGCAGTTCCATGGAGCTAACACTGGTGAGTCTGTCTCATCCACAGCTAAGAGGCACCTTTGGGGTGGGTTTTTTTGGCTGCCGAACTACTCACGTGCTTGGACCAAACCAAAAACCAACTGCAAGGAGAATCATGGAGAATCTAGCTGGACCCGACTGACCCAGTACCTTCCAAAATGGGACCTCACCCTATTGAAGACATCTTTGTACCCAGGTCCTTGTACCCGGTCGGACCCCTTCGCGAAGTCGGTCCGAGGCCTCCTGTCACCTGACGCGACGTCGGTGTCCAACGTGGTGACCGCTTGCAGCAAGGGCGAACATTGGGAGCGGGTCGGGTCGGGGTCGGGAGGTGAGGTGTTGTTTTTTGGATTCCTTGTCCACCATTGTTTCAATGGTCTGAATCCCAAACATGCCCAAACAGTCCCATGGTTTATTTTATGGATTTTGAACTACAGTTCGGTTCAACCTGTCCTTTCATGTGTCTTTTTTGCTTGCAGGCGAATGCGGGTTTGTTGTGTTTGTTGTGTTTTTTTTTGTGTTGAATTTCCTTTTGCGAAGGGAAGCAGACCTGAAGTCACGATCTCCAAGAGGCAGGTATGATGGCCCATCCACCTGTTCCTACCTGTTCCTGCCGACCCGTAATTCGGACCCTGGAGACATGGGTACAAGAAACCTGGACCCGACTTCAGGTACAAACTGGAGACATTTGACCCTATTAAAACCGGCCAACTTGCGCCCAATTTTCTGGAGTACTTTCAGGCTTCAGTTCAGTCCAGGTGCCTGCTTTTGCATAGAGTCATGTCATGTCATGTCCAATTTTCTAGGGTACTTGAAGTCGGGTCCTTCGGTACTTGGAAGCACGTCTTTCGATCCTCGCGTGCGTTGACGGCACTCGTGCCACGAAAAAAGACCCTGCGCTGTTTAGGAGTTGGCGATCCAATTGATGGAAGACCATCAGTGCAGGCCGACACCCGGAGATTGACACGGAGAGTGTGGTGTTTTGCATGAGGCTGTGCTGAAGAAAGCTCAGGTGCTGAGTTGCAACAGAAAGTTGGCTATAGGCTACCGGACATTCTTTCTGCCGACCTCACCCTTTATATATATATACATATAGGGTACCAACAGAGAGTCCTGGTGCATGACACCGACAAACGTATCCCGTCACCGCTCGATTAGAAGAACCTGACTTGATCGAGTGGGTTTTTGATCTCCCTACACCTCCAAGTACCTCTTCAGATGGTATTTAGACCCTCCAAAACCCACCCCAAACACCTTCTCAGGTTCGGTACTTGAAGGCCAAACGGGTTTGATGTCCTAGGTCCTCCGCTTTTTTTTCACGTCGAGCGCACCAAGCACGGATTCCAGTGGGTGATATATTGAGAGTTTCCAAGCGTTCGCCACATGAGGATCCTGTGTGTCATACTTGGTCAACTACCCCTTGTCAGGAGGTACCTTCTGAGGTACCTTCATTCGAAGGGAGGCTATTTGGAGCCCAGTCCTTGTCACGTCAGTTGCCGCCCAGTCGTCTCAGATCGTCTGCGATCGCTTCCTTCAAACCAACGACCACTGGCACCCTGCCGGTTCACGCAATGACTGAGGTACCAGTCCTACCTTTACCCAGTCCTCATGATGCTTAACAAAGAACAAAACACATACACGCACACAACTGTTCATTTTTCTGCATCACCTCTCATGTTTGTTTCTTTTTAAGCGCTCTTAAGGTACTGGTATATAATATAGTATATTCATGTTTAAGGTGTTTGACTGAAATTGAGTTACCTGTTTCATCGATCTTTTCAGATTATTGAAAGGTCCAACATGCTGCAACTACCTTAGAAGAGGGTGAGCATCCTTGGTGCCTGATGTTCTGATCATCTCGGATGCTGTGTTTGTTTGTTTAATCTCCTACTAAACTGCTAGAGCTTAAAGCCTGTAGCAGAACAGTTCACACGGTGGTGGAATTGGTACTTCATAGCCTGGAAATCCTAACAACCAGAAACAAATTGTGGTTCTAACACGGCAGGCAGTTGAGATTCTTGACATAACAAGTGGTTGTTTGGAATCATCCAGGAGGCTCCATCCATCCAGGCTAACTTGCATCCCAACGGAGTGAATCTGTGAACCTTGCAGGCGAGGTGAAATGGACCTCGTGTGTCACAACGCCCCTTGGAGCCTGCGATTTGGGTCGAACGTGTCCGCGAACGACCTCGCAACTGCGTGTGATTTGCAGGGAAATTGGGCCCAACGCAGTGTGTTCGGGTTGCCTGACAAGATTTGGGAGTTGGAGGATTGCCACTTCATGGCAGACAGAGCACATGACCACTGCACATCGTGGATCCAAGGCAGTTTGAGGCAAACCCAAGTTGAGAGGGCATGTCATAATTTGATGGACTCTGAGTCTTTTGTTAAAGATCAGTGAGATTGCTCCCCATGGATTTCCGGTTGTACTGCCCCTGGTTCGATTACGCGATGTACTGCAGCCAGTGATGGAGTGATGTTCGTACTTAGATGGTACTTGCTTCGGCACCGCGGTAAAACACAAAACGAGGCGATGATCCATGCTATGTGCAGTGGCAAGCGATGGCAGCAGGCCGGGCCGCTTTGCTTCCGCTGTTGGGAAGGAGCCAAGAGCCCATGTGTCAGAACTTTGGCCATTTAGCCATTTCATGTTCAATAGCTTGTCTTGATTTCTGCTGTGTGCGTATGATTACTGTATGTATTGTTACTATTACGTTGCCGGCATGCACCTAAATGAGTCAATTCGCGTTCAGATGGCAAGACGTTGCTGGTGAACCATGGCTGGTCGTCCCGCATCTAGTACTGTCCACCCCGTAGGGCCATGGAACAATCTGTTCTACTTGATTTGCCATGTCTTTGAGGTCGAACAAATTGCTGGGCTGAAGGAAAGACCCCTAACCTTATACTTACTTGTTTGCGACATTCAGTATTCGTCGGCAACTGCATTGTCTTGTTTTGTCTTGTTTAAAAATTGAAAGTAAATAGCAATCCCCTAGGGCTCCAGCCATATCCTCAGAAGGTGGTTAGACACCTGTGGCACCCACCTCAACCATCTTCTCAGAAGGTAGGCCAGGAGCCCTAGGGATCAACAAAATCGGAATGTTTAATGTGTTCTCAGGGGTCCCCTGGTCCCAGCTATAACTCTCCCCAAGTCGAGCAAAGAGCTGAGAGGTGGAGCTAGACGACTATTCACTGCCCTTTTCGTTGGTCAATGTCATACGCTGCTTCTCAGATGGTTCCGCGTTACAGCTGCTAGGTGTTACAGTCTACTAAAGACAGTCGTGAGCCCAACCCAACAAGTGCTTTAGACCTGTGACTTTTTCAGGACCAAACGCAGAGTAGTAGCACAGACAAATAATGAGAAATAGGATGAACCACTGTTGCTCGCAACTGTGAGGAGTTGAGGCCAATGAGGCTCCTTTGTACCGAGACCTTTCTCAAGAAAGACTTTCACACCCTTCCCAGACCATCCATGGAACGACATCTTTCCTTTGCCCCATCCACGGGACGGCTTAAGCGCGTAAGCAAATCATTGCCATGCAGTATGGGATTCTTCGGCTTTCTTGGGTCAAGTCATTGTCAAGTCCTTGATATTCCTTGATCACTTTCTTCGTCGACTCGAGGCGGTGGACCACTTTGACCAATTGCCTTCCGCGGATGTGGTGAGTGCGGGGTGCTAGCGGGGTGCGGGCAGGTCCCGGCGTCGGTTCGGTGTTTTTGGGTGTGTTTGGGCCATGCCGAAGAGATCCAGGGTGGGCCATTCCATGCTGGACAAGATCGCCATCCTCTCAATTTTTTAAAGGTGGACGGCTGGAACACGTGAGCTAGTGAGCTAGTTTTTGTTGATGACCGTGTGCTTTCAGGACTTCAAAAGCAATATAGAAATCCCAACGAGGTCAAGTGCACTTTAGGCAGGAAGGAGGTCAACCACTGTTTGGTGGCAGCTGGTCAGGGCTACACTTGGCTTGGACAAATGCTACTGAATGCTACACTTGGCTGGTCAATGCTACACTTGGCAGCTTTTTTGGCTGGTCAACTACTGTGATTCTTTGCAAACACATGTGTTTTGAACGAAACACTTGCAATCCTCCCTGGAATCCCGGCGAAGACGGATGTCGATCCAATCCAGCGGTTGATGTGGATCCAAAGCGATGTGAGGTTACAACACTACCATGATGGCGCTGAGTGAAAGCAACCTGGCGAATTTGTCAGCTCAGTTCTTGCCTTTTGTTGAGAACATGTATATATATATATTCAGCTGGGTGCTTCAGCATGGTGGGATAGTGGTCATTCAACCAAGATGCTCGTTGACCTACGTAGCAGGTTGACAACCATAAGTCGACGAGCCACAGTCTTGGCTGGGTTGGGGTAGGATGTGATGCCTCGCCAAGAGGCAAAAAGAACTTGCTGGGTAATCTATGGGCCATAGGTGAAAGTACTTCCGGAGACCGGTCCTTGGGCCTCCGGACATCCAAGCAACGGATGGTCCTGGGGTTTCGTTTGAGGCACGACGCCTGGAAGATGTGAGTGAAACACAAATGCAGCTAAGCCCGGCCCTACAACTGGGTGCAATATCCTCCATATCATCTCAAACCATGCTTAGCCTGAATAAATGTGTTATAAGGGAATCAACTAAGGACTATGTTCTGACAATGTGACGTTCCTGCTTGTGGTCTTCTATCGGCATAACATCATAATATTCGATTTTGGTGCCAGGAGAAAGAATCCTATAGGGTCAAACTACCTTGTTTTTTTCTTCGGTGCTTGGATGGCTGCCATGGGAACGCTCTCAGTACCTTTCTTCGGAGGTGGGAGCGCATTTTCAGCTTTAGACCATGGTCCCACAGCCCTCTCAAAGTGGTCCAGTCTGACCCAGGTCCAAACCTGGTCTTTCCTGGTTTTGCTTAGATTAGGATGATATCAGTGATTGTCCCGAAGTGGGTGAATCCATATTGGCTTTTGGTCCAGTTCCTGGAATCGCCCCGTGCTGCCAAGCCTGACTTCCGAGTCGTGTGAGGGACCTGTGAACGGTTCGACCTGGCCCGGAACCCGACCGACGCCGCGATCGAAGGGTCACACCCGGCGTCGAAGGCGGGTGGCGCCGAGGCCAGGAATGGCAGAAAGCTTTGGAGCTTTTCCAGCAGCTGAAAAGAAGCTGGGACGAATCGTTTTCGGGCGGTGACATGGGGTGGATTTTGACCTATAAGGCCTATAAGGAGACAGTGGGTTTTAGGGTTCTGGCTCAACCTATTCGAGGATGTGTGGATACAGCAAACAGTATGTCCTATTTTGGGGTGTGGCCTTGAGTTGGCTTTTTACACGGAGCTATACAACAGAGAGCTGGTCCTCCCCACGCTGAATGAGCTGAGAGGTTGACGTTGAGGTCCCTCATGTCGCACTGCTGTGGCCCAGAGACACGGATATGTCCGGATCCAATCCCTACAGAGATTCTTGACCTCATTTGACTGTACCTGGTCATAAATGATATGAAACAGACTGGATGCAGAGGACCAAGCTTTACGTCAGACTGGACTTGTAAGGAATAGTGTCTTCCATGCGTGTCGGACTGTGTCTCATGACCATCCGGCTTCCGTATGGCGCGCTTGGAAAGCTCTTCTGAAAAGGACATCGCCTACACATGAAAACACAGCCTGTTGTTAACAGTTGCTATCATGAGTATGCTTTAACCAAATGCCAAGCCCTCACTACAAGGGCTGTCATGCAAATGTTTGGAGGCTTGCTTTTTTGTTTGGTACCTCGACAGCTTGGTGTCAGTGCACATTCCGAAGTGGTGTTGTTTATTCTTTTCCCGTGCTGCATGTTCAACCTGGTTTTCAACCATTGAAGCCACACCTGCTCTCGATTCCTCAGTGATTTCGACCGTGTTGATGTCCGCCGTAGTTGGATATGATACTGTTATACAACACACACATGGTCTTTTAGACAGCTGTGCCTTTGGGGACCCTTCTTAGAAGAACCTAAATAGACGAGCCTGAAATTGGGACCTCATCATTACAATATATATATCATCCCTAAGGGTCCAGGACCATCCGTTGCTCGGATGTCCTTGGCCCCAAGGACCAGTCTCTGGAAGTACTTTCACCTCCAAGACCATCTTCAGGAGGTACCTGGACCCGGGACCCTATGGGTATATAAGAAGGATACTAAGGGTACTTACCTGTCAGACATCCCAAAAAAAGCAGATGACCATGAAGGACCCTGTGTACCGTTTAAGAGAGGTGTTTCATCTTCCAACACCGCCGTGGGTGTTGGTGAATGTCATGTTGGATAACACTGATCTTCTCAAAAGTCGACAAGCAGCTTCTGAGGTAAAGAGAGATCATTTAGAGACCCACCTCTCCGCAAGTCCTGCTTCACCAGTGACGTGCTTCACCACGGGCAAGACGACCTGGAGTTGTAGGTGTTCATAGGTTTTCTAGCTGTTGCTACGACAGAGCGAAGCATTTCGCTTCCTGGACATCCACCAAGGACATGGGCCCTTGCCCACCACCAACAGCTTCTTGTCAGCTAGACCTATTCGTTCCTGCCCATGCGTGCAGTGGTGTTCTGTTGACCGACGAGAAGTGGAACATGGCTCGACTCTGGGTGTGTATTCTTTGACCTGGATATGGTCCAGGGGCTGTATCCCAAGGATTTATTTGAAAGCGCGTTTCAGAAGTTTATGTTGAAATCTATGTTTCATAATTAATTTTCATGGATATTTATCATAAAACCATAGATTTAATATCCAACCATATCCAACCAATTGTTGTTGGTCTATGTTCCTTCTTCCAGGGGGTCGATCTGGGAGGTCTCTCTATTTAACCACACACCCTTAGGACTATCCATGGTTTTCCTGGGTCTGCATGATCTCCCATGGTTTGCTGGAGGGAAGGCATATTTATTGATCAGAGCGTTTTCTACCGTATCCTCTTTTGGGAGACACCTATGAAAAAGGAAGATGGGCTTTGATATAGTGAACAGCACCAGCTTTCGACCAACACACACATACACGCACCTGACAGTATAAAGCTTACATGTATTTTTGTATGCATTTAGTATCTACAAGCTTTTTTGGTTGTGAGGTAAATGTGTGTTGCTCATCCTCGCCTCCATTCTGTGTCTTGGTCTCAACGGCCTGTGACAGAGAATGTTCGCCGCAGGAGGAACCTCAATTCCTCGGTGACTTTGGTCCCTCCAGTTGGAGAACCTGCCGAGTGACACGGCAACATGCCTTCCCTCGGTCATCCCCAATGAGCTGACACGCCCCGAAAGCAATGTCAGAAATCAGGTTTGAGAACGGAACCGAGTTCGGTTTTTCTGAAGATTCGCCCTCCACGTCATCGTTTCTTTGCACCTGGTGGTTCCTTTCGACTCTTCCTAAACTCTTGCAAACCACCTGGTCCCTCCGCTCCAGTGGTTGGAGCGGCTTGCTCAAACCGTGCTCAGCTTCAGACTGATCGGTGCCCCCGGTCTGCCGGCACGGACCACCGGAGGGAAGGAGGGCGGAACAGGGGGGGCCAAGAGAGGTAGCCAGTGACCGTAAATAGGACCTGTCACCTGGGGTACCCAACTGGCATGTATATATATAATATTATATTTATATAGTCTTTTGGGGTTCTTGAACCTTTGTTGGGAGCGCCACATCAGTTCCGTCTTTCGAAGAGTTGGAACACCTCCCAGAGTTGGAATCCGGCTTCACGCCGCCCTCGAAGGCTTCAACATCGCCATGGATGTGTGGTCGCAGCACGACCCCAGTGTGGACTGTGCGAAGCAGGTGGACCAACTCCAGGCCGCATGGAGACCAAACGAGGGGGAGACCAAACGAGGGGGACTTTGGCTGGCTGCCAAACGGGGCTGCTTGCCGCCTTTCGGCGGTTGGAGACCGCAGACATTGAGTGTTGGTAGTTGGTCAGTACTTGGACCTCACTCCTACCAACACTCAACTACCAACACTCAACTATCCCAGTAGTATGGTAGTTGGTCAGTACTATCCCAGACGCCCTGACGTGAAAAAAAGAACAGCTACTTACTCCTGAGGACTGTGAGGGTCCGGGTAGATTAGTTTTGGACGGATCGACTGACCTTTTGCTGTTGGAGCCGTTCGTTCGGTGTGAGGACGGTACCGTGGTGCCGTCCATGCCGGAGCGAGACGGAGCGATTCGGATCAATTGAGAAGCACAGAGGGAACACTGGAACTCCTAAAGCCCCTTCGTTGCCTGCCAGAGGTTTGAAGAACCAATGAAAGTGCAATCAACGTCCCACTTCTTTGTAGGTATACCTGGAATGTCCAGGAATGTGTCAGTTACTCCAGCTTGTTGCTCAGATGGTAGTTAGACCCAAAGATTCACAACTCACCTCAGGAGGTGCTTCAGTTAGATACATTACGGTTTGATTTTTGGTGCCAATCGCAGTCCACTTTCATCGCAGTGAGCCGGCTCACGGGAGTGGTCGCGGTGGCTTTGTGGGCCATGTGCCATGGCAGGCGGGGAAGAGAGCGGGCAGCGTAATGGCCAACTGTAGAGTTGAGGCAGTTTTTGATACAAGCGCCACAAGCACAAGCAACATCCTGAGTTTTGACGCACCTACTGCGACTGCTCAGTCTCTTCTCTTCTCTGACGCCGCTCCGCCCGTTTCTCCGCCCGTTTTTCACACTGCTCCGGACTCCCAACGGTGTTCCCGTCGAAGACCCTCCGGTCACCCTGCCAGGCACTGACGCACCCATCCTCCCGCACTGGACGCGCTGGAGGGTGGCCCTGGCGTCCTTGACGGAGCAGCGGGAGGACTGGGAGATGGAACATGGGGCGATGTGGCTGAACAGAGCCGAAAGCCAAGCCTTTGTTGAAGTATCAAGAGAGGTGAATTGAGAAGGCGTCAGTCTTTGGGGACACAAAGCTTTCCCTATTGGACGCCTGTGGGATTTTTTTTGCATGCCAAAGCAACGTTTCTCATCATCGAAGAGGCGAGCTTGAGCGTGGCCAGAGCGTTTCGTACGCATGACCTACTGCCCCGGCAGGTTCACGGGCTGTGGCATGGACTGTTCGCAAGTCATGTGGATCCTCCATGGATCGATCGATCTCAGCTTTGAGGCGCAAGACATGCTCCTGCTCAAGCGACCGGCCGGGCACTCGGTGCCCACGGTGAGATCAGTAGAGTCGACGACCGGGGACGGCGAAGGCGAAGAAGCGTGAAGCTACCAGTGACCCAGTACCGTAGAACATGGGACATGACCCAGTACTTGTACCGCAGGTCCTTGTAACCACGTGAAGGTTTTATATTAGATATGTACGTTAGTAAAGAAGTTGGAACTCGTCATTGGGTGCTTTGAGGAGGATGAGGAGTTGGACGTGATCCGCTACACCACTGTCATCACTGCTTGTCAGAGACTTGGACGGAGACCGGACGTTGGGAGACTTCGGGTACTAGAGTTGGCTACGTCGGTCACGGTGCACCGGTTTCCAAAGGGAGGTACAGTTGTTGATAAACCCTCCTCACAGTGCATTGCATGGGGTACTCCCTACAGTGGTTGGCGATGTGCTGAAAATTCCTGTGGCCAAGGCAAGCGTCACCGTGGAAAAAACAACTAAAACATACATGGCAATTGAAATTATAAACGGACCACGGTGGAATCGAACCATCAAAGTAGGAGTGCTGACCTTGCGGTTTGTAAGACAAGAGTAAAACACCTTCACCAATATGTGCAGCCGGTCAAGCTGATTCCGGTATTGAAGGAAACGGCTTGTCAGCAAGGTGGCACACATGGTGGCACATCAGTCAAACTCCTTGATACTACGACTGAGCTTGATTGATGGTAAGGGGTGAAGAATCCCTAAAACTCTCTCTCTCACCTTGCGCATCCATTCCCTTGCGATGAAATGTGATCAAGAGACACCAAAACACAGTCTGAGCAATGTCGCTCAACTCGGGCCTGTGCCGACCCTTTATTTTGGAGGTCATCCATTGAGACCTCTATGAGGAGGCCTAACAACCCTCTTGAGGAGACCTGAAGGCTGCTGATGTAGACATATAGATGTTTCTTTTGGATGTTTCAAAGCCTCCTGGACCTGACAGGCACCTTAAGTCCTAAGGTACCATCTTCTGACACGCCCAGTTTCTGACCCTTTGTCATAGGCTTGAGGGGGATGCCAGAGGTCAAACTTGGGATCCTTTGGGCTTGTTGGAGGTCCTCATCTTGGTGGTTGCCCCGTGAAACTTGAAGGGTTGGACCTCTTGACCTCGGTATGCGCAGGGCGCAACGACATGGATGATCGTCCACCCTGCAAGGTGCCTCCACCTTCATAGATCAATTAGAGGCAGGGTGTTTTGTATAGGAAACCAATTCCCTGCACTCCGTGACAATCTTACAATATCTATCTCAATGGATGTCCGATTTCTCTCGCCGAGTTGTTGTTGCCCTGTGCGTTCACCGGTGTGTACTGGTAGGAAAGCAGCCCGCTGGTGGGCGGCCCTCGGGGTGTTGCACTCCTTGCGACGTAGCAAGCTGCGAGCAAACGTGGTGACCTACAACAGCACATTAGGAAGCTGTACGCAGGCACCGGTGGCTTGCGATTGGGAGACTCTATGACTGTCTATATATGTTGAAAAGAGCTTTTTGACCTTGGCAATGAAGGGTAATTGCATGTATATTACTTTTATTAGATAATGGATGATACCTGGACCCTCGAAGTACAATGATTTTTACTGTTAGGTTCATGTCTCATTGTCCAGGGTACTTGAAGTCGCGCTTGTGCAGCTGGGTCGCTAGGACCATCCATTTCTCGGATGTCCTGCTGCAGCAGGCCCCAGTCGAAGGAAATACGTTAGCCCAAAAAGAAGACCATCCGAAAAAGTCCCTGGACCTTATGGAACTTGGTACAACATCCTCTCTAGGTGCCGACGGTTTTGTTGACAGCTGAGCTGGTGTATGTTGGGTGTTGGGTGTTCAGCGTGGCCATACTCGTGGCCATTTCTCCTGGTAAACTGCCATGACCTGCTTAACTGCTTCGGTCACTTTGTTCACTTCGTTCAGTTGCGAAGAGCACATGGAGCGGACAGAAGATTGACGTGCACGGGTGAGTGATTTTGTTAAAAGGTCTTAGCCAGCTTGAATACTCACTCATGCGGCATGCGGTTGTTCAAGGCACCTGCAGTAGCAATCCCAACTGGTAAATTTTAAAGGGACAGTGTACATTCTTTTTGGGGGGACTAGGATATACCAAGAAATTCCACCCGAAGCAAACACAGCTATAGGATACTTGCAGGAAGCCCAAACAACCAGAACACACATGTGACATGTGTTACTTGTTTTTCTGATGATGGCAATTGAGATCCTTTACAATCCTTTACAAGTGCTTGGGACTGTGGAAGCATCCATTTCTTGGGACAAATTTTCCGTTGAGAGATGACCTGGGCATCGTGCCCAGAGAGTTCTGAGCCGAGCCGAGCCGGTCAGGCTGCTGAATGGCCCCAAGCACTTCAGTTGCTCGACCAGGCCGACCAGGACCGAAAAAACCTCAGAGTTGCACCTGGTAACCTGGTAAGACGTAAGACCCCAGGACTCTGTATACACAGTGACAAGTAAGTCTTGAAAAGAAGAAAGCAATTTCAGAACAGCATGTTGGGAACGAACTGGGCTGGTAGAACTTCCAAGAGCTCGATGTTTTAATGCGTGTTTTTTGTATCATTGGCAGATGTACAGCTCACATAGTGAACAAGTGCTCACACAATCAAGGCCAACACCAACACCAACAAAGTATCGGTATGTGACAGACAGTAATGACTCAACAAATGAGAATCATTGCATGATTGTATAATGATTATTTCCACTGAACATGAACGAAGCTGGTCGAAACAAGATACTGGTTGACAGGACTACCCTGTCAGGGGATATAGAACATATATATAGAACATATACTTTGATTTCCCCGACTGCAGCGAAACAGCTGCAAACCTCGCTGAGCGATTTTCGGGATCGAAAACGGCCAGTTCTTGACTTCGCCCAAAAGGTCGAGAGAGGGGTGCGAGACCATTGGTGGTTCCAGCTGTGACCGGAGTTCCACCTTTTCGGTCAGTTTGAAAGTACCTTTTTTGGGGGGGAATCTGCACACAGAGGGTTTGCAAGAGGAAACTGGTCATGCAAGGAGCTGTCCTCCAGATGATTGGAATGTACTCCAACCTTCTGAGAAACCTGCTGCCACGACGCACCCGGATGGATCTTCTGAGGAACAGCCAGAATCCATCCAGCTTGGGCCAGGGGGACTCAAACCCTTTGACCAAGGCCCCCGCTAAGGGGTGTCTAATACCCTGCGAATCCAAATATCTCAGAAGGTAGGACTAGACCCTCCGAACCTACATAACAGTGTCTACAATCACCTTCTCAGAGGCCTAGAGATAATATGAGATAATGGGTTTTTTTTGCTTCGAAGGTGGATTCCGATCGATTCCGATCGAACTGGAGAGGTTCGTGCAAATGTGGTCACCTATGGAAGCCTTTGTGGCTCCTGTGGCTGGAGAAGAGCTCGAGTCCTTCTAGGCGTGCCGGAAAGGAAACAGAGGGCAAACAGAGGTGGCGTGTGCACACCCCAGACTTCAGGGGCTCACATTCTTTTGTTCTTGCAAATCATTCTAGAAGAATGGAAAAAAAAAAACAAAAACATGATTAACATAGAACAACTATGAAAAACAATAGAAGCATAGCACTTGTAAACATCATTAAAGATCTATCATGCACCACCTGAGACTGCTTCACCCTTCCCTTGGACCCCTTGGACGCTGAGCAGAGCTTCTTTGTATCAACTAGATGTTTCAATCCAGGGAAAGGGAGGTGGATCAGAGTTTGGGAAAGGTACTGTCTCTGACCCAACAAGTGGGTTGTATAGATATGTTTAGATTTGGATACGGACTCTTCCAGTCCTGCGGCATGGGTCTAGCGGGTGATTGTTGATTGCAGTGGTTGCAGAGTAGATGGCACACCCAAGGTTGGTGGTTAATATGTCTATGTAGACCCACATCTAGACATGCAGGGGTTTGGTACGATCACCAAGACGAACAACCAAACACTCGTACGCCAAAAGATTAATCGTAGACGAAGGCAGGCTGCCATTCGCAGGTTTGCTGGTGTAACTGGTGTACGGGCGACTCATCGAAAGCGAAGGTCTAAGCGTCCTTTCAAGAGTCCAAGCGATGGGCACTCCTCTCAAGACGGGTAGCGTGAATCCGTGAGGATTCTCAAAAGGCTAGCCAGCCACCTGGACCCTTAGAGTATTCATAGACATGGGTACAGTTGTACCGTTGTACTTGTATTCTTTTGTTCGGGTCACGTCCCATTTTCTAGAGTACTGGGTCAGTCGGGTCCAGCTAGAAGAGCTGTAGAGTGGGGTGCTGCTAGGCTTGGCCCAGCAGAACTCGCAGGAGTTGCGCAGCAGCAGCGGATGACGAGCCTGGTCGCCTATAGCTCGTGCATCGGCGAATGCCAGCAGCTCGGCGCATGCCCGAAGGTTGAGAGGTGGAGGCCTGGAGGCCGAGAACAGAAGGCTGGAAAGATAGACTTAACCCCAACAGTGAACAGGTCGCAACTGGATATTCCAGGTAGAAGATCTCAGGGAATTCAGACCAGACACTGCAACCAAATCCCTCCAACAGGACACCTCCTGCGAGTTGTATTGCAAGTCTCTACAAGCCGCCATTTTTCGGAGACCTGTTGGAAGGTGCTGGTATAGTAATGTCAATCCGAGAGGCCTTTCCCAAACAAACCAACACAGGTCACAATCGGCCCAACCAGCTCAACAAATGATGGGACGAACAAAAAGCTATGCCCAGTGGGATGAACCTCCTAACACCGAATTCCTAGCCAAGTACGTGTATCACCTGCTGGTCACTACGAAAGAAAAACAACACCGACTGACCCAGAAGTACCCAGAAGTACCAGAAACTGGGACATGGCCCGAACCAAAGGAAAGAGCGGTGCTCTTCAGAATATAATCTTAAAGAGTACGAACCGGGAACCGGTCGCATCGACGATGATGGGACGACACTGGGACACATTGGGACACCAAAGGTTCGAAGCACAAGAACAGTGGGGCATCAGAGTAGATGGCACGTTTGAAGGGCTCTCTAGGTCGGTTGATATGGATGCCTATATATACACCCTAGGGATCCAAGTGCCTTCTGAGAAGGTGGGATTGGGGTGGGTTTGGAGGGTCCAAATACCTTCTAAGGAGGTACTTGGAGGTGTAGGGTTTGTATGGACGCCCAGTGCCATACAAAAGACATCTTGGGGTGTCAGTGCCATCGAACCTCTGAAATGACTGGAGCACCTGCCTTCACCATGGTGGGCTTCCTTTATGCCTTTCACCGGGACTCCGTGATTCGCTGGATAGAAACGGCTCGAGAGAGTCGATTCCGAAGAAGGCAGGTGGACAAGGCAGGCAGGCGGACCCCGGAGAAGGCGGGGGTCGTTTTCAGTCGAGTCGAAACGGAATCCTCCAGTGATTCAGGTTGAGTCTCTGCTTTGGTATTTGAGTGAAAACGCATGAAACACTGGCACCACCTGCAAGAATTCGCGGTGGCAGTGGCATTCCATAGTATTTCTAGAGACATGATGACATTAATCATGAGATTATGGCACAGCACCTCTTTCCTCCCAGGAAGTTGACCAAATGGCAGGAAGCGCTTGGGCTGCTTGAAGACGTGAAGAAGCAGGACGTCTTCAGACAGAAGAGGTCGGGAGAGGTCGGGATCGATGGTGGTTCATGTGTCGAAGAGAACCATCCGATGAGACACACCAGGACCATCCAATGGGACACCTGGCTGGACTACCCTGCAGTACTTACCTAGGGATCTCCAGACAGGACTTCCGTTGAATGCTCCAGACGAAAACGGATTTCTTGGAGCTCTCCCTAGTGACGGATGACGAATGATCAGCAGAGGATAATAAAATAAGATGACAAAAGGAATCAGGCATCCTCATGAATCCTCGTAGAGAGGCTGAAACTGTGTGTGTGTGTGTGTTTCAAATTGTTATTGTTTTCCATCTTTGGGCAAACAAAGTCATGACGGTCCACAGCCAGTCTACGGCCAAGCTTGCAGCACTCAGTCTACGACCACCTTTTTCTCAGAAGATTCAGCCTGTGTATCGACATATTCAAAAGCCTTGAAGTTCTGACCAACACCATGAAGTCCTGACTTGGCTCCAACTCTGGATCACTCTGGTGTTGCTCTCCCGTAGAAAATGCTCCAGGAGATGTCCCCAGACATCATCCTCATCAATGCCACCATCAGCGCTGCTCAGCCCTGCCGGTGGACTCCGCAAGTCGCATCAGGTCTCGATCTGAATGGATCTGAACAGATCAGAAGGTATTTGATCAGAATACCTGACTGACTGACTGAGGTATTTGATAAGAAGGTATTTGATTTGACAGATCTGAATGGACCTGAATAGATCCAAAATAGATACCTGACTCGGAAGCCTTTTTTGGAGGGACCTGTGAGCAACACGTGTTTTTTCATCGACCCTGCAAGGACCTTGTGAATCTGTATCTGAAGACCCCGCCCCAGGTTTTGGCTACATTTTGGTTGGGAAAGAATGTGCCGATGTGTGTGTAAGTGACTTTGTAAACAGTGTCCTCATCTTTATATGAGGCCATGAAAGTTGTTTTCTGATCCACTTTGTTTCCACTTTGTTGGTTTTGAGTCCTAATTGTCACTCATTTGCACGGTCCAAGGCCTGCGAAAGTGCTTCTCAATGGCAAGAGGCCTTGCTTTTGCTTGACTTCTCCTTGTGCTCGCAAGACACCACGCCCCTCGGAAACGAAAAGGAAGTGGTCCAAGCGATTGGGAGTTGGGGGAGTTGGAAGGCAACCATATTTGCATGAAGCAAAGCTAATATATGAATATAGCTAATTTTGCAAACTGCCCAAGAAGGGGTGAAATGGATTCTGTCAATGATGGTCACTGCATGGTGATCCTGGCACCTCGAATTTTCTTCTTCCGATCCTGGCAGCCGTGAGCAGCATGGATCTCGCAGACTGTCCACTGAAGCCCAGCTATGCCAGAGGCACATCGAAAGATCATTCTTCAAATCCAGTGATCTTGGGATGGACCCTGTAACATCTCCTGGTCGATATATTCCTTTAAGGATCCATATACCCTTTGAGAACTTGATTGGAGACACATGGAGACACTGTCATGTAGGTTTGAGGTCCAAGGACGCTCTGAGAAGGTATTTCGGATCCGTTTTGGGATCACCAGTCCAGTCACCAGTCCAGTCAGTGGCGCCACAACTCGTCAGGTTGGTCACCTACAATTGCACCATCAGTGCCTGTGGCAAGGCTGCACAGTGGCGAAAGGTGATGCAACTGCTGGAAGAGCTGGAAATGCTCCAACAATTGCCCGAACCTGGGAAGATGTTGAACTTCGGATTGTAGAGGATGGACCGAGTCGGATCAAAACAAACACCGCGATTGCACGTCAGCGGGACAGTTCTGCACAGTGCGCAGAATGTCCCAGAAAGCAACATAATTTGGCCGATATCTTGCTGTTGTTGGGGTGTCCACTCATCACAAGCTTTTGGTGAGGAAGCCAACACTTAGCACAAAGAAGTAAAGCTGCCTCAAATGAGACTGAGCTCCAGTGCCCAGGTCTTTTTCGCCTGAGCATCCATTTTGAACCAAACCATGTTGGCAAGGTCTCAACTACCAGCACCCTCCAACCAGGTCACCAAATGAGATTTCTCAGGCAAACAATTCTTTACAAGAAGGGTCTTTGTTGTTTTTGTTTGTTTGTCCCCGCAGTCCGCTCTATTGCTGGCGACGTCATTACGTCTTATCAACCTGAGGACATCATTACGTACAACTCTACGATCAACGCGGCAAGCCGCAGTCAGCTTTGGCCTTTGGCTCTGGCTCTTCTTGCTTTCTTGCACAAGAAAACCTTCGAAGCCGACACCGTTCCTTGGCAGCGTTCCGTTGTTGGGGTTGAGTGAAGGGAAGGCCAGGCTGGTGTAGAGTTGCATGAGACAGGGTCACCAACAAGAAAAGGATATACCGACAAAAGGAGACAAATTCCCAAGAAGGATGTGGTCTTTCTCCAAAAGGATGTTCACCAAATCAAAAAGGTGTTCTTCTTGTGAGTTTGTTGGATTTGCCATGATTTGCCCATCTCGAGGGCTTGAGGGAAGGAGGGAATCATCTTTGATTCTTCCCTGCTTAGGTCACCCTAAAGCTCTTGGAACGATGTTTGAAGTCCTTCTCTGACAGCTTTTGGCCCAAGCAGTCCTGGAACACCATGGAGATGGGTGAGTCTGGCCCTGGCTGGGGAGACCGATTCGATTGAAAGAACCTTCGAAACAACACCTCCGAGTCACGTTCGTCGGGGTGCCGAACTTGGAGGATAGGGGCGCCCACTGGATGGGACTAAAAAATCTACGGTGGTTTCAGAGTAGATGGCACAACCCCCAAGATGTCCTTTAGATGGGGGCCCATATAAACCACGTCTTGGGGTCTGTGCCATCTACAAACAACCCCGATATGTGGCTCCAGGTCCAGATAGATAGTTTTGGAATTGGGCGGGCCAGTCCCACGAGCGGTTGCTGAGAGGTGTCGCACACTGTGGCCATCAGCGCGTGTGAAGGGGCACAGAAATGGCCTGATGCACTGCAGCTGCTAGATCAGATGAAGTGGCAAAGATTCGTGGCCAATCAAATGAGCCTCAGACTATGCAGGTATATTATATGCAGGTGATAATATGGTGAATACTTTCCAGTCTTTCGAGAGGTTTGAGTGGCGCCTTTCGATTCGTTGAGAGATGGAGCATGTGCTGTGTGTTGGCTGTGGATGTCAACGTCGTTTGAAAAGGTGTGAAAGTCAGCGTTGCAACATCCGTGATCCACTGCCCTCTTAGCAAACATGAACATATACCGCGCAGTCACATGAGAGAGGCTGTGGAGTCCATGTTTTGCTTTCAGACTTGAGGTTGGGGACCCACAAGCAACGAATTGTGAACCCAAAACAAAATAGCAGACATGGATGGATACTCAGATACTCAATACAGAGTCGTTCAATCCAACTATATACCATACATTTGGGCCTTGTTCAAAAATAGTCATCATAATCCACTGGTATAATATAGGATAGACCCAAACTATACGAATAGTTTCACCGAAGCTGTACGTGGAAGAAGCCCAGGACGTGCAACGCCACGCTGAGCGTTTGTCAGAAAGCAGCACGATGGCAGCTTGGCCGAAGCGATTCTGAGGCTAGGCAGGGGCTGGATGGCTGAATGGCTCCAGCTCAACCATCCAAACAGGAGCACAGAAGTGAGCACAGAATGTGGTGGGTTCAAACCTGGACCCCTAGGTAGGTGGACCATCTATAGTCGTCCATTCTGTTCATGTTCAGTGGTCGTTCGCCGGCTCCCTGTTTCGACTCCACTTCCTATCACCCATGAAACCGGTCGAATCACTGACTTCTCGAACCGGTCGGACGCGGAGCTGCAGAGTGGGGACCCTCAAACCTTTGCAGTGGATCGAAGGACCGGCTTCGACGGATCTCTGGACGAAAACGGCCGGTCGTTCGCCTCAAGTCCCATCTGGTCCCACAGACATCCTCTATAGTGGCCTCTTTGGAGTCTTGATTCGTAACCTTTATACAGGCCTAAGTGACCTCATCCTGGGATATCGGAAGGTCACTTTGAAGGTCCTGGTCTCCTGCATGTTCTATCTGTTTTTTCATCTCCTCGCTTTGACCAAACGGCATTGGATCATATTGGATTCTTGGATCCCTAATTTGAGGCTGCAAGGCTGGCAACTCGAAAAGGTTTACACCCGGGAAGAGACCCGCATGGAACCTGAACATGGACCAGACTGGAAGACGAGTTTCCTCTATAACCCGACGTGGAGAACTAGGGTTGCATATTGACATCATGTGACTCTTCCGGGGCATCACCTGACCAGTCAGGTCTCAAACTCTGCTGGTTTTGGACGATACGACGGCGCGCCGTGACTTGCCCAGACGTCCAGGACGACCGGGAGGGGGGGGGACTGGACCTGAGGCACCTTGCGGCTGTGGGCCCATCTGGCACCAGGAGACGGACCGGTTCACCCACCGGGGTCAAGGTCAGGGTACATGCTACATGGTGTTGGGGCTCCAGGCTCCTGGGGTTGACCCACAGCCAAATGATCCTTTGAAAGCCCTTTCAAGGATCCATTCCCCAAAGCTTCGGGTACCTTTCAGTGCGAAAACAATTGCGGCAGTTTCCGTACCTCCCGTTTCGCCAAGTTCGGGGGCTGGGGCAAATGGGCTCTCGCTACCTCCAAGTCGCAGGCCTTGATTCGTTTTCCCCACCTGTCAGGTGAGGGTCTCCAAATATTCTAGATGTTACCTCAATACACGTGTGGCTTGCCTGGATTGCCTTCCTCCAAATCGCCTCTTTTGTTGAGGATCACTTCTTACGTAAAGCATTTGGATGATCTATTGGATGTAGTTGGTCTCCTGAGGCTTGACAGATGTCATCACCTACAATGTGGCGATCTTTGCCAGTCCTTGGGTCCAATCTTTGCAGCTGCTGAATTGCCTTGGCCATCTTGGCCCCTTCGCCAATCTGACACCTGGAATTGACATGTGTTTGAAAACAAAGAGAAGGAACGCAAGAAAGCCTTCTCAGGTTTGGTGGGACTGGGGTGGGTGCCCTCGGGTCCAGGTGCCGAGCTGCCTTCTGACGTTCGGTACGACTGGATCCCTAAGAAAAAAGAGAAGGAACCCAACAAACCAACCATTTCAAGCAACGATGGACAGCTTGGTGTTCTTCTGTCCATTCTCCGGTCCCCTCCGCTCGCGAAGTCGGAGTTCCTTCTCGCACCTCCGAAATTGGATCCGAGCCTCCTAAGCAACCTTCCTGAGTCGATCGGAAGTGATGAGTCAATACGAACCAAAGGGCATCGCGGCATCGAACGTAGCAAGAAGCTACTACTGTAGTAGCTCCTGGCACGAAATACTAGGAACAAGGCTCGCGGAGTGAACGTGACACTGGTCGTGGACCAGGTGCCGGTCAACCCGCTGGAAGCCGGTGGCCAACCGACGATCGAAGGGGATGCTTCGGAGGTTCATGTTTCTTACAGATGCATGTTTCATGTTCCTTGGAAAGGGTGGTAGATTCTGGTCGGCCCTTCCAAACGTGGTAGATGCCATTTGTTTGGCTGTGCCAAGTGAGTACAATCCCCAAAAGGTGGTTTATACGGACAGGTTGATACGGATCTCAAAGGCATTTTGGGGTGCCAGTGCGTGTACCAGTGTCATCTTCTCTGAAACCACTGTGAAACGTCTCTGTCGTTCAGGATCTCTTATACCTCGTGCATCTCCGAGACCATGCAGAGAAACATCTCCTCCCCGCTCTTTTGGAGAAGGTCCTTCGACCTGCTTGGGGACGCTCGAGCAGCAGGTGTCAGGGTGCAAACCAGAAACAAACACCGGTCACCAAAAAAAGACACAAATCTAAGCAATCCTATACTATAGACTTTTTGTCACAAGAAAGTAACATGTATTCTATGGTCTTTTCGTGTAGACTTTTCTTTATTATTTGGTCTTTTTGTCAGTTGTAATGGGATGAGATATGATGAGAGCTTTTGGTATCTCAAATTCTCACAAGATGGCCACTTGCTACCCCAAACTTGGGTCATGGGCGACTCTCGTTGGCTGCGGGACCACAATCTTGATACCCACACTCTGACATTGGTTTGCAGTTAACTCAATTCCCACGGTGAGAAGGAAGGTGAGGGAACGGCATGGCGAAAAGGTCGGCAAGAACTGTATGGTTGAACAATGTTTGCACTCTGACAGTCAGTGTGGCTGCAAGTCTGCTGCAAGTCTGCGGTGGGAAAAGGTTTAGGGGTCTATCATGAGAACAACCATGGAACCAACGAAACAGCAGCAGGGTGGACCATTGGAGTCGGTGTGTTGAAAGCAGGTACGTCAGTTCCGCGTCCGGAACTGATATCCTCACCATGTATTGCCAGCTTCGTTGATGGAGAAGCAATACAGGTGTCTCCATCCCCTGCGTGAACCCTTGGAAACAGGGGTTGACACACACACACACACACGGTGCCGCTTGGCGGCGCTCGCGTGGAAAGCCTGAATAGATACCTAAAAAGCCTTAGAAACAAAAGAAAGAAACACAGAAAGAGCAGCGCTAAGAGGGCAAGAGAGAAAGATAGGTGTAGAAAAATGAAAAAATGAACACTTAGCCCTTGACTGGGGTAGGGAAACGAGCCTCAAGAGCAACCTAAAAAGCCCGAGAGAAAGCCCAACAAACGACAAAAAGCGCAAGAAGGAAAAAGGGGGTTGGCAGGGAGGGGGTGTATGTCCATGTGTGTGTCTGAATACTTAGCACTCTAGGGTTACTGACTACTTAGCAGAAACGAATTACAGTGCAATAGTTAGGGAGCGGGACTTTAGTCTTAAGCCGCCCGGGTAGAGTAGACTAGAAAAGGGACAACAGAGGGAAAGGCACCGACACACAAGTGTGTCGAGTACCATTCCCCTGTGTTACCCTAATTAGGTAGGGAGGGGGGCTGGGAAACCTGCCTCAAGTGGGGTGAATTCTGTTTTTTAGCCCGGCGGCTGTCGTATCCGTGAAAGCCCGGCGGCTGTTATTCCTGTTGATTCAAGGTTGTTGAAAGCAGTTAGGAGAATCCAAGGTTTGGTAAGCCCGATCAAAACTGTTACACGATTTCCAGCATGAAAACGGCGCCTCCTTGCGGAGGATCACACCCAGCACCCAAGTGGGACGGCTGAGCGGGTCACATTCTGACATTGGTTTGCAGTTAACTCAATTCCCACGGTGAGAAGGAAGGTGAGGGAACGGCATGGCGAAAAGGTCGGCAAGAACTGTATGGTTGAACAATGTTTGCACTCTGACAGTCAGTGTGGCTGCAAGTCTGCTGCAAGTCTGCGGTGGGAAAAGGTTTAGGGGTCTATCATGAGAACAACCATGGAACCAACGAAACGGCAGCTTCGTTGATGGAGAAGCAATACAGGTGTCTCCATCCCCTGCGTGAACCCGGGTTGACACACACACACAGAGCCAGGTTCTTGTTAATGTTATTCCTATGTGTTCGTTGAGGTCATAACCCACGCGCTGGCCAAGCTTTAGCTCAGAGTGTGTGCTAAATGCATGCACCCTGGATCACATCTCCTGCTTTGCATCAATGATATATCGTAGCACAAGACATCACGAGGAGGTTGTGACTTTGATGATCATCGTTTCTGTCCACACCAAGCCCACAGCAGGAGACCATCCAAAACCCGACCGAGCACTGACAATCCCCAAAATGGGTGTGTATTCAATTAGGGAGGGGATCCATCCATTTTCGTTTTCCGAACCAAACCTAGGGGGTTGTTGCCTAAACGGTCTCCCTATTTGAGCTCACACACCGGAGCCCGCGGCCGCTCGTTGTGTCAAGCAAGGCGCTCCAAGCCTTTCGGCTTCGTCCGACAGCCTTCAGCTTCAACGCGGTCGTTGGTGGCTTGGCCGAAGTCCACTACTAGTAGCGTTCGGACGCAATGCTAGGTGGAGGCCATCGCAAGTAGGTTGGAGGCCATCGCTACTAGTAATAAGAAGCTGAACATCCTTCACCGTCTGCGGGGCATACCTGACCTCCCCCTCTGTTTTGGTGAAGGTGCGACCGGGGTGGGTGTCCAACCCTGTGTGATTTCCCTACCTTCGATTCCTTTTATTTCTTTTTGGATTTGGGACAGCCCTGGGATCAGACCATGCTCCAATCCGACCTTTCTCATTGGGACTTCGTTGTGACGAGTTACCCTCCCTGCCACCAGCATTGGTTGAACCCAATCTATAACACTCTTAACCAGTCCCATGGATTCTCTAAAGATGCAGTGGTTGCAAACTATGACTTCGAAATCGGAGACCTGAACCATCCCCAGACCATCCATGTACCCCATGAACATGACCCAGACCATCCATGAGACTGGACTAGGTTTTTCGCCCCATAATAACGACGGCACGGTTAATGGCCGGCAGTTCGATGTTCGTCCCGGCGGACCCCGAGGCGTGTGTGTGGCGGAATGGCCCCGAGCCGTGGCGCTGGTCGGTGACATGGATCAAACGCAGGCGAGAGACCCGACCCGACGTGATCCGGTCAGAAGCTCTCAGTCAAAGATATGACTTGTGAAGGCAAAGAAAACTGGCTTTACATGGTTTTACTGAATTCACGGAAAACCTTTGTCAGTGTCCAACTTGGGAAGTGACTTGTTAGCCGCCCCACTTCCCAAAGCTGAGATGGGGACATATATTCGCTTTTTATCATATAGGAAGCCATGGACCATCATGGACAAACAGACGGTCTTCAAAGAATTGGGTCAGCATTCGGGCTTGCCTGTTTGGGTAAGACATCACATCGGGACTGGAAGGGTGCTTCTCCGTGGTCAACGTCTGAAGACTGTGGCGGTTGGCGACATGCGCACGTGATTCCAAAAGAAGCCGACAACACAATGTAAAGGTTGTCGACTGGTCCTTGGAGTTCTTCCACTAGGTTTGTGATACCCACATCTCCCTGGCCCCTCGCACTAGAGGATCGAGTGCAAATCAACTTGCCGCTGGATATGTGATCCAATGCCCTCAGAAGGTCGCGGTACGGGGTTCGGGGTATATTTCAGTGCTTGGTGCTTGAACACTTGATGAGGCCATGACATGACTCCCATCAGCTTCATTCGGATCTTTTGGGAACCTGTGAGAAGGATGGGAACAAAAAACGAAGCCCAGGAAGGGCCGGCGGAGAAAAGAAGCCCGGAACTCTGAACCTCTGAACCGCTGGTGACTGGTTATTCCGCGGAATCCAAGTCTCCTTCACCAGCTGGAGTCTGCTCTTGGAGGCGGAGGAATGGGTTCCTTTTTGGTTCGGGTGTGCGAGTCTGCTCGCGCGAGCGCTTCACCTACAGGTGGAGGGAGATCTCATCACCTGCAACAGCCTTCTCAGCGCTTTTTCGACCGCCGCACTGTGGCCCACTGCGGTGCGGCGGCTAAGGGAAGCGGAAAGGAGCGGAACTCGACCCAACATCATTAGTTGCAACTTGCTTGCAGAAAAGGTGGTTCTATGGTCCCAGACTAAGGGTAAAGAATTCGGTCCAGTGGTCATGGTTCCATTGAACATATGAGTTTTGCATAGCCTTGATATATGGCAAAGTATCCCCAAGCATCTTCAGCATAGTCACTAAAACTGCTAGGATTGTAACTCGAATATATGTGCATTGCAAGTTGCAACTGTTTCGTCTTTGTACCCCTATAAAGAGTTTGGTTGCAGCCAGCCGTTGAACTCTTGCCCTTGCAGAAATGGAGAATTGATGAGCCATCCACTGAGCTGTGCTTTATCACCGGGCTGCAGAGGGGCAACCAACAACAGGAACGGAAACTGCAGCATTGCCAACACATCATGTGCTTTTTGTTGTTCATTTGGTCCAATTCGTTTCTATCGCCTGCTGAGAACGCTCAACGAAAAGGCGCCCAGTTCGGGGCCTAAGCAAAGGACCGTGACTCCAATATGATGCAACGATGGGCTGACGAGGGAAGTGTCGCCTTGACACTTAGCACTGCTTGAAACAGCGATCGTCGTGTTTGTTGTGCTGGATCCTTCGGTAGGCTACATGCCCAGACCAACTGCCTGGAGCCTGAAAGTACCGCGGAACATGGGCACTAGTACAAGTTTTATTGGGTCATGTCATGTCCCATTTTTGTCTTCGCAGCGATGCCCAGACCAACAGACCCCCACGCGATGGTTGTTCACGATCCCACGCGTCTTTCTTCGGAGGCAACTGCGGCATCGCAGCCTGCGAGGTCTATGGGCTCTGGCGCCGTGCGTTGTTGATACGAAGAGAGCTCGCAGAGACTTGGCGCAAGGAGAGAGGACCAGGAGAGGACCAGGAGTTCGCCAGGAGGTCATGACTGAACAACTGAGTGTTCCAACTTCACCGCTTCATGTTGCACCCAAGATGAAGAACCAGGGTCAAGTGGAAGAACCAGGGAGAACCAGCGCCTGCACCCAGCTACAGAGACAAAAGATAACAAAAGTACTCGTACTTATGGAGAATAGGCCAGGTATACCAAAGCGGCTGAGCACAACATGATTCCTGCGCATGAGGTTGGTAACTGTTGGTTGCCGGTATTTACTTCAATCAGTTGATGCTGGACATTGCAGGACTTACTGATGAGCTGGGTCTTGGAGCTTCTAGGAGTTACTGATTGACATGCTGAACTTCAGGGTTCTTAGGTTGGGCCATCGCCATTAGGTTCTTTTGCTTTTGTTTTGCACCTAAAGGTTCCTCCCTGCAACAAGGCCGAAAGCAGGTTGCAGGGATGGAAGTCACTCACCGCAGTGTTGGTCGATGTACTGGGCTCGTTCTGTATGTCTGAGTCATTCTCCCAGACTTCTCAGAGTGGAGAAGTCTCCCGGCTGAGGACGAGATCACCTACAACGCCTTGATCAGTGCTTGTGAAAAGGCCTCCGCATGGCCAGCAGCCATCCTGCTCCTGCGAGAGGCAGCCCTCGAGTCAGTCTCAGTGTCTCAATCGACCGCGGAGGCTTCACCTGGAATCAGCAATCAGGTAACCAGTTGGTTGGTCTCTGTGAATTTGTGACCCGTCGTGTTGGTTGTTGTGTTTTCTTTTTCTCCTGGGGACGCATTCAGTTTGCATTGGTGGCTGGCGTTTTTGAGCGGCAAAGGTTTCTGCCCATTTGGTTGCACAGTCTCATGGATCGTCTCATGGATCGTCTCGTGATGTCTCATGGATCGTCTCATGGATCGTCTCGTGATGAGACTGTTCAGTGCTAACTTTGGAGGGGTTCAAAAGTCTGCTTGCGCAACATCGGGTGCAAAGCATCCCCACACACACAGTCTCAGATACGGTGGGCGGCCCAGCCAGCCCATGTGTCGAATCTATGCCAGCTTACTTTGACCATTCAAAGAGTTTGGATCGAGCTGGTTTCGTCCCAAGATTATGAGTAAAACAATGGGTCTTTGGTTTTTGACCATCAAAACCATAGATGGGAATCCCAGTGTGAGCACCACTCAGAGTCATATCATTTGGGGAGTCCCTAGTTGAGCTACCCTCCTGCAGCCAGCAGATTAACATGGACCCCAAAACCACTGGGTTGGTATTCGGAAAACGGTCTTGCACCACGTCTTTTCCTTCTCAGGGTTCATGGTATCGTTTGCGGGTGTGTACGACCTGATTGAGTAAATAGCCAGTGGTTTCCAACACCCAAAGAGCTGCTACCAGTGCTTTGCAACCTGTGAACCAGCAACTGGACAGACACTGTATAGCGGCATAGCACTGTTTTGAGGATTGGTCCTCACATGTTGATGGTCAACTTCTGGAATTCCAGCTTCACGCTAACTTCACACCCTTCAGCACGAGCAACGAGTGTGACACGTTGGCAAGCAGGCTGGCGCGCTTGCAGACAACATTGCCTTCACTTCAGCAGCAGTTGCATCAGCAAAGTCCATGAATTGGAGAGTGGCACCTTGACGTGGACTTATTGGAGTTGTGCCCAGCGTAGGTCATGGGCCATGGGCGACTGAATTGAGAGGTGGAACACCATCCGAAACCTCACAGGCCCAGATTGGATTGTCTCTACTATTGATTTTGGAAGGGACTCTCCTCGTTGAAGCAATGGGATATTCATGCGTTTCAGGTGGTGTAGTCACGGGCCCCAGACTGGCAACCATTTGTTGTAAACCCCCGTTTAAGCGGTTGAAACTACCAAAGGCCACCAAGGCCAGCTGGTGGCACCGAGAAATGCCAATCAACTGCTTTCAAGTTTCGCATGACATGAAGACGTTTTTATCGCCCAAATTGGCCTGATGAATCCTGATGAACCCATAGGGGTCCTGCGTTGAACACCGATTGACCACTTGATTGACCTGTTACTACCCAGGAAAAGTGGATCACCTTGAGCCTTTTTGGGGGAGTGGTTTACAAGAACAGGTCGAAAAAGCTAAGCCTCTATTTTCCGGTAAACTGAAGGAGTCTGTGTGATTTTTCTTCGGCTGCAGCGCAGCTGGCAGCTGCTCGACAGGTGATGGAACTGTTGAGGGAGCTCCGGGCAAGGCGTCGGCAGCGTGGGCGTGGGCAGCCCGGGAGTCCAAGACGTCTGAAGTTGACGAAAGACACAAAGAGGGACGACTTCTACCAGGACCCTCCTGGCCAGGCTGTTTGGAGACCTCAACAGGTGGTGAACCTGGGCACCGAACTTGGAAACACAGGAAGCACCTATTAAGGAGGGTGCCGGTGAAAGACACGTGCTGTGACGGGTTAGTGACTAGAGTTGGTGGTTGTGTTCCCTAGGGATCCAGTCGTACCTGCTCAGGTACGGTGATTGGAGACACTGATCTGTATGTAGGCTTGGAGGGCCCAAGTACCTCCTGAGAAGGTATGTGGATCCCTAGGAGTTCTTCAACTTTGGTGATTGGTTGGCTGCTGTAGTCTTCAAGACGGACGACTTCTACGTAGGTTCTTTGGATATGTCGGGATCGCAGATGGACGGTTCTCATCGGCTTTTCGGTGAGGGAAACCGGGAAACCTACTGGCCTTTGGAGGATCGGCTGTGGAGTTCAGAAGGCCAGAAGGTATGATACCCCTAGGGATCCACATACCTTCTCAGAAGGTAATTGGACCCTCCAACCCTACAGATCAGTGTCGCCAATTACCTTCTCGGAGGGTGTGTGTATCCCTGGGGTAAGCTGTCCAGAACCACCAAACATAGGGTGCAGAAACCATTTGCTTCACACGTTGCAAAAGCACGTGGGCATGATGCGCCTGCCTGCATGGTGGTCTGACCCCAGCCTTCCTGGGTGCCTTCAGTGCTTCACTGGATCCCCTCTCAGCTTTCCTGGAGGCGTTTGCAGCCCGAGATTCTCATGTACCAAGCGCTCGTTCAGAGCCTCTCAGCTGCGCTCCATCGATCAATCGAAAGGACCATAAAGTCTCGGCGGGCAGCTGCGGTCCATGCGTGGTCAAACGCGTGTTGGACGAGATGCGGTGTCCCCAAACATGGACAGTTTGGCTAGTGCAAGCATGCATGCGCATGCACCAAGAAAGGTTTCAAAGGGGAGTTGCTTTAAATAGGATGTGTTTAATCCAGCTTCTGCAAAGTGACCTTTTGAAGGTTCCTAAGTGACCCTTAGGAGGCTTAAGTGACCTCAAACCAGGTTATCAAAAGGTCACTTTGAAGAACCAGGATCATGTTTAATCTATTGATTTCAAGGCTCACCAGGACATACCAGGACACTATATTGTTTGAAAATAAGTTCCTGCTTCTTCAAAGTGACCTTTCGATATCCCAGTTTGACGTCACTGAGTCATTCCAAAGAGGTCACTTTGAAGAAGCTGGTTTGTATCTATAATGGTTCACTATGATTATATTATGTTCATTTGCATTTTTGTCCCAGACTTGGCCCTTGGGGCATCTCTTGGTTTGTATACTATCCGTGACTGGCTGTTAGAATTCAACATAATTATATATAGTTAGAATATAAAAACAAATGTAATTTCGAGCTTCCATGGATGACAACAGACAATGGATGCCAACAGACAAATGCCAACAGACAATGCCAACATGTAATATAAACAAATGCCAACAGACAATGGATGCCAAAGATAATGCATGCTTTGCTTACTGTAGTAAAGTTACAAATGGAAGTGATAAAGATCAATGGTGTTGATTCAATGGCTGCTCCACCATATTCTAATTGCATTGTATTCCTATTTTTACCAGGTCTGCCTCAGTTAATTAGATCCTAATTCATGTCTTTAATTGATTTTATATTCTAACTCCTGGTCAGTTACTGTATATTTTGGGATCACTTGGACTAGCTTCCTTTCCAGCTCACCAACATTGATGAACATGCTTCTTGAGGCCATGAAGGGCAGAAAAACTGCCTCGGGACGAAGGAGGCCTTGGTCCAGTTGAGTCTCTTGGCAGCTGCTTTGGTTCAGATACGGGGAGAAGATAGGAGAAGTACCTGGACCCGCAAAGTACTGCTAAACATGAGTTCAAGCACATGTTTGAATTAGGGCCACGCCCCATTTCCTCGGGTAGTTGAGAGGAGTCCAAGCGTGCGACCGAAGAGGGTTATGATGTCATGTTTGGTTGGTTTGGTGACATCCACTGGACCAAACAGGCATGGATCTTTTGAGGGTTATTGGATGATTATCGCTTTAAACCGCCTTCAAGGTCGCAGAGAGTACCTCCAAAAGCAACCTCAGATGGTTGGGCAGCCCCAAGGACCATTGGTTCTTTGATGCATTGCGTTGAAGTTCCCACTACAGCTCTTCTAGAGGCAAGGTAACCTTGACCTGCGGGTGGATGAGTGGGCAATTCAGAATTCTCAGTCTAGGAAGTACTCCCCTGCGGATTAACATGGACCCATATGGACCCTCAAAACCACTGGGTTCTAGAGGAAAATGGTCTTCTAGCCTTTCACGGATCAATTCCGTAACCAATCAACCTTCCATCAGCCTCGCAGGTGAGCAAGCCCTCGCAGAGCTGCAACCAAAAAAGCACTGCTCCAGCGAGATTTGGCTGCTCCGGTGTGCGAACTGCAGCTTCAGTTCATTAGACCTAACAGGGGTTTTGTTGATGTCTCAACTTTCAGAGAATCGCAAGCAACTGGATCTTTGTCCATGTCAAACGGGTCTATTCTGGACTGCAAGTCATTCAGCGGCTTCCGGAGCCACTGTTTGAAGTCAATGTTCACTTTACAAGGTCTTTTGCGCGTATGTGCAAGGAACGTACCTGGAACCTTGGAAATGGGATACAAGTACCATTTTTATTCATGTCTGTTTGTTTAAACAGGGTCACGATATATGATATGTCCCATTTTCTTCAGTACTTTGGAGGGTCTTTGGGTTTTCTGTAACAACTGCACATATGTGGCCTTCAGAAGGGGTATATCCTGCGGCCACTGTGCGATTCTTTTCGACCGTAGGCTTTAAGATCATGAGGGTGGTCAGAAATAGATAGACCATGGAGGTTTCCTCCAACTCCCAGGTTTGAGCCAAGATCTGCTAGGGTCCGGCACCAAACCTCACTTAGTTGCCAGCGCCGTCCACGCCGTCCACGCTGGATTCACACTCCACGTCGCAGGCGGAGATGCACCGGAGCTCTGTCCCGTTGGCGCAGGACACCTACCGTGCGCCCCGGGGGAGATGGACGGATGGGCCGAGACGGGAGGTGGGTGGCTATAATGGATACCTATAGAACTTGAGTGGACCTCCAACCTCCCAAAATTGACCACTTTTTCCGATCCAAACCACGGTTCCAATCGTCTTTTAGATCTTTGAGGTTTGCTCGTTGTGGGCCCCAACCCTGGAAGCAAAGTTGAAACAAACACCTGGAACTGTTGGGTTTGGATGGGTGAGGCTAGGTAGAAATCGCAAGGTCTGAAGATGTTTGGGGAACTGTTTTTACGACAGTAAATGTTGCTTCACAACTTTTTAATGACCCCCTCCCAACTACCAACAAAACACAACCAAACTCCGGCTTGGGCGCGCAGAAACCGGTCAATCTTCAAGCATGTGTGTCCTGTGAGCTACCTGAAGTACAGGGACGATGAATCAGTGACTGTAACCAGATTTTCCAGCTACTGGGCTTTTCCAGCTACAAACAAGGATACTTGTCATTGTGTAGAACCTTTGTTCTGCCATCTTTCTTTAGAGCAAATTCCCTTCTCCGGGGTTTTCCAGAGAACTGGGTGATAGAGAACCTGAACGTCGTTCGTCCTTTGTACCCGAACGACACGTGTACTTGCAGGTCGCTCAAGTGTACTTGGTGTACTTGCAGGGTCCAGGTGGCTGTTTTCCCCAAAAAGCTGCATGCACCATGTTGGATGTATGAATCACTACTTGTACGTTACTTGTACCATTCGTATGGTATACATCCAATGGTACATGGTGCCAGGGTTCGGTCACTTGTACTTGTACCAGTCCTCGTGACCGAACCTTGGGAGTCCAGGTCCGTTTCGGATGGTGAGTTTTTAGATAAAATTACCACCGTGACCGTATACCGTGTGACCTGCGGATCAAGTTCGGTCACGTATACACGAACCAAACAAGAAATCATGTTGCTTTTTGGGTTTGTTAAGCTGGGCTTCGATCCGCAGTCAAGCAGCCCGGGGTCTTCCTTTGAGCTTTTGAATGTTTGTATAGTGACTATTGTTGTCAGCAAAGAGGCTGGCCTTTACATGCGCGTCTCACATCAGAACTAGCGGATCGAGTGGTAAAAAAGGTAACCAGTGGTTCCAAAACTACACCGAAACGACACCGGTATATTGGCTGCCTGGGATCACCCACACGCTACAGTTGTGACGACCTGACGGAACTGCTCGGGTCGATGGTATCTGGACCTGACGAACGCATCGTACCCGAAGCGGGACATGCCTGCGAAGCAAACATGCTGGTCCGACGATGTCCGGCTGTACCCATTCTTAAAGGCACTGTGAAGTTCCAGGATGTTCCAGGTATCTTGGGGGGTCGAGGGTTCATGAACAGTGCCATTTAGAGAAGCTGCAGGACTTTGGTTCAGAGGCTTTGGAGGAACATGGTGTCGCCGGAAAAAGCGACCAAAGCGAGTTTCCACCCCTTGGGATGCACATGGATGTGCATTGTTATAGGGGGGATCTATGTCCTTTCTGAAACGGGGATCGAACTGGGGTCTTTCCTCCCTGTTTTAATACACACCCACATAATCCCACATACCTTGTCATACTTGGAGCATCCCAGACCCACATCGAGTCTCCAAAGACCTGCAGAAGGTGGATGTTGGGCTCCAACCATCTCCGGATAGAAGGTGCCTTCGAGGTACTCCATCGTCTCGGGCCGGGCCTATACCGCCGGGCACCCCGATCCTCCCCTCCTCCATCGAGGTATCATGATCCAAGCTCAAGCGGCTGGCGGCCATTGGCCGAAAGTACTGGCACTGCTACAGGAGAGGGGAGAGGGTACCCGTACCGAAGACGTCCGCTGGTGAGCGAAAGAAGACCGACCAGTCCACCGGTTTCCACCGGAAGAGATGACCCACAAGCCGACTCCAAGACTAGCGTAGCATCGATGTTATATGTTTCACGCTGACTTGGTCACTGGTCACCTACTATGTATATAGGGTCTTTTTGAAACGTTCAGTCCTCCGGAAGACTGGAGGCACCCACCCGCTTGGCCTGAGGGGTGCAGTTTCAGAAACACCCTGTTCTTTTTCCAAGCAACGAACTGGGGGAAATTGTGGAGTTCACTGCAGAGACGGACCCAATGGATGGGTTCGTACTGAGACTTTCTTTGGGTTTCGTGCTGAACAGTAGTAAACATGCAGCCACTGGCAGCGAGAGATGCGTGGGGAGATAAGCCCATTGGTTTGCCCCCTGCGTCAGCACTGACATCAGTCTGGAAGCATGGTGTTTTGGACCAAGGAGTCTCTGTGAGGGATCATAGACTTTTTGGCAAAGCAGCGGAGCTAACAACCACCGCTGGTCAAGATGCACCCGCCAAGCATCCAATGGATTGGTTTAAGGGAACATTCACAGGACACCATGATTGTTCACCCCCCGAAAAGCTAGGTGTTTCCTGTAGATGTTCCCTTGTAGCAATTCTGGGCACATAAGTTTCAAGCTGAGGTCCCCATGCTCCGAGGTCGGAACCCGACTCTCTAGCACCGGTCCCTCGACCAGGAAGCTGGGCGCCTCGAACCAGTGGAACGTCCCTCAGCTCGAACGAGGGAGGGGAAGGTGATTCCCCCCGAAAAGTGCCCCGGACAAAAGCACATGTTTTAATTTAAGGATGTTAACTGTATATAAATATGTTCTATATTGGTTGTTATATATACTTATATACATGTATCATATAACGCGAAAGCCAGCCGATAGGCTAGGCTTGAGCTTTTAGGGCGAACGAAGTGAGTTAAGGGGGGTGTGGGGGTGGCTGAGCAGGAGCTTTTGGTAGGGTGGATGCAGAGCTTGGTGGGGGAGAGCCCTGAGAAGTGAGAGTCCGAAACGCAATCAACATTCAATTCTGGTGATGCGAGTGATGTAGTGGACGCCCAGTGCATCATTAGCATCATGAAGGGCTTTGGAAGCTATTTGGGCAATGGGCTTTTGGAGGACTCGAGTGGAGACAGGGACCCACATACAGAGCAGACCGCAGCCGCACGTAGGATACGAGTTCCCAGGACAACCCGCAACTCGCCAAATCCATAGAGAACCGAAAGTGACATGAGTTCAAGTCCATGAATTTGGATTGAGTTTCTGTGGGGATGCCTGCGAGGTTGCCTACATATCCGCATAGGGCTCCTGCCCTCTAGTATATACATGTATATACTATACTTGCACCATGTCCTCGGTCGAGTGGGTGCTTCTCGCGGCGTCCACACGCACCGAACGTTTTTTCCGGCTTGCCGGTGTAGACAGATAGATAGATAGATAGTATCAGATAAATTCTATATACTACTGACTCATGACATTGCCCTTTTGCTGGCAGCCCCGAGCCTGTGGACTGGCCGGAAGACAGAATCCAGCGTGCAGGGCGAGGCGGATCCATGATCCTGCATGCGCCCAACGGGCTTTGAATGGTTCTGGAAAGGGGTTGGGCGAGGTTCACATCTACCACCAAAAGAAACTGGGAAGAGTTGCGAAATCTCGCCACCAAGGACCCTGGTAAGTGGAAGAACCAAGTGGAAGATACAAAAGGTAGCGCAAGATTGCGGCTTGGGTACGGCAATGGCACAAGTATCTTCTGCAGGCTCTTCTTGATGCAGGAGACTGTATTGGAGGAAGTGCCTGTGGTACATGTATGTGCCTTGTGCGCCCGAGCCTTTACCAACAAACAAACGTGGATTTCGCTCCACGTAAACCAGAAACACAACTATAGAAATATATGTTTGGAGAAAGGCCAATGTGTCATTTGTCATAGGGAGTTCTACAGCGACTCAAACAAACTTCAGCACCGCCTGAATTGCAGCGCAAAAATAATGCCGATCATATTTTTGGCAGTGTTCCGGGACTGGTTTGCGGTGTTGATGCACCTCACGAACAAATGCCCTGGCAACGTGCTGAACCCATTGAAGTCCAAGAAGGAGACTTTATACCTGACTGAGATGAATGTCAACTGCAAAAGGTTTTGAATGCATCTCTTCAAGTCTGTGCGACAGATGTTGAGGATGCGGGTTTGCGCAAGACCCTTTTGTTTGTTTGGAGGAAACCTGTTTGCGCAGTATACCCTTTGATGTACTTGTGCGCAGCTTCCAGAAATGGGCGGATAGCCATGCACGGAGCACTGATGCCCGACTCTACCAGGCACTGCAAGAAGTACACCAGCGCCCTGCAACCAAGGGCACTCTTCTGCAGCCAGTGCAAAACCTACTAGATTGCTTCTTTCTGGGGTTGCGTGGGACATGGCAGGTCACACGGGTGACTCCTATATTCCAATGAACAGCTCCATAGGGAGGGCCAGTGGCGGCCGATGGCGAAAAGTTATTTTGAAAGAATATCCGGCCCCACTATGTGCGGCTCATGGCGGCGCTTTTCAACAGCAGGTGTGAGGGGGATGCGGAACAGAGCGAACTGACCCTCTGCTGGGCGGAATGGCTGCCATCGCTAGTGGTGGGGGCATATAGCAAAGAGAGCTATGGCCCCGACTACGGTGGCTTGCACGAAATTAAGGAATGAATGCACGGCGGCGCGCGCTTTACTGCACGGTCCGCGCACTTAAAGTGAACACAAATACAAAAGAGTAAAGGTTCAAGATCTTCCATTGGCAGTTGCCGCCCCCAAAGAAGATCCCAATTCAGAGAAACGGTCGCTCCGACAGCGTTACGATCGCTCAGGTGACACATCGATCTGCGGCTTGGGCGTTTTGTCCAAGATCCCTGAGGCCAAAGACATCATGCTGCAGCTGGCCAGGCGGGTGCCATCGATTTATCGCTGGTTTTTCGTTGGGGACGGAGGGTGGTCGAAGAGGAAAGAACGTTTTTGTTTTTGTTATTTGGATTGATTCAGGGCGGAAGTGCAGCAGCCATGGTTGTTGGGTTCAAAAGACATTGGTGTTTCTTTGGCCACGGAAAGTGATACGTTTGGGTTCCAATCCTTGCTGCCTAGCCTCTCGACTCTCAACATTATCAAAGATCACAGTGTTTTTTTTGAAACAGGGACAAGTAGTCCACAGGCGGTCTTGGCATGGTGCCTGATGGTGCCATCATGGTGTCGGCACTGAAGAATGGTCGCCAACCTCGTAGCTTCCCCAAAACATGTAGTTTTGAAGCTGATGGAAGTTCCTTGGTAGATAGATGTGAATTCATTAGCCCCAAAGTTATGCCTTCAAAATGATTTGCGGTTAATGGTTCACCAATTGAACCATTTTTTGGCCTGTTGTTTTCGAGCGGGGCCTTTTTGGGCCCGAGGGATCCCAAATGTTAAGACAAAATTTCAGCTCCAGAATGAGCCTAGGATGCAGCAGATGAGTCTTCCAACGCTCAGAGCCATTCCGGCAATCACTGGGAAAGCATGTAGCACATCCGAAAAATGTAGGCACAGACTCCCAACCGGCACCCACCCCAACCACCTTCACCAAAACGGAGCTAGCTAAAGCCTTAAGGTAGGAAATGTTTTGAACATTTGCAGCTGCCCTATGGCTCAGTCCATCCATCGATTTCAAGATGAACTATGGGTCACCTCAGTCTTTGGGAGTCGCAGTTCCCACTAGTCATTCGCCGAACAGTCACTCGAACCATGGACCTAAAAGAAACGCAATGGTTCCAGTAAACCACTATAGCACTATATAGTTTCATTTTCCAGTTCCTTGTAGAGAAGCCAAGCCAACCACCATGTCCTTGGTACGTCAGTGGTTCCAGTTCAACCACCCCAACCGCCCGAGTTCCGGCCTTGCCCGGGCCGACGCGTTGTCTGTGGTGATCGCCGTGAGACAACGAACGGCGAGGCAAGCGGAATTGCTTCGCAAAAAGACGAAGGGATCGCTGCGCCGGATGTTGGGGTTAACCGGGCAGACGGGTTCCGCTGGTGGTTTTTCAACCCCTCGAAGTAGTGGAAGAGACACTTTCAAGTCATGCCGAAGAGGCGTACCTGCTTGGAGTACACCCGGCAAGAGACACACATGGAACCTGAAGATAGACCCCAGAGGCAGACGATGTTGCTTTGCAAACTACTGTTTTCAGGTTAGTTCCATGTATGTCTTTTCCAGAGCGTAACATGCTCCTTTTACCAGCCAAGCCCGGTCTTCGAGTCACACCCGGTGGGTCGGTTTGGCGGTGGGTACGGGTGGCCGTGCGTCACATCCACGAAGTCACTGGGAATCAAAACGATCCCTTGGAAATCTTTTGAAACTGTTGGGCATATCATTCTGGCTTCTCAGTTTATATTTTTTTGTGAATGTGTTTTATATGTTTTTTTCTCTACGTAGCATTTTTACGGGTATTGTTAGAATTATCACGTATATGTTGACAGCATCAGTTATCGTTGTATTATTAGTATGGTCCAGTCAGTATATAGTAGAATGTGACAGTGGATAAAAGGCCCAGCTCCAAATCTTGAGTGATGCAAACATCCCCGTGGCTGGGTTAAGGAATAATAATACTCCAACGCCGAGGCTGCTCTACACTCACCCATGTGTGCCAGCAGCGGAAATCCCGTCAGGTCCTTCCTTTTAAAAAGTGGTCCCTCCAATCAAATGATATTTGGAACCAGTTAGTTAGAATATAGTTCCTTTCTATTCATCAAAAACCGGAGACCAAACCGCTTCGAAAACCATTCATGCCGCACCAAAACCGCTTCGAACCGGTCGACCGGTTGTTGTGGACTGAGGCAATGCTGGCCAACGGCCTCAAGCCTTGCCTGGGGTGAGCCGGCAACGGCGCGAGGAGCGGAGAAGCGCGGAGACGCGCTCGTTGCTCCGGCGGCGCGGACCGCCCGGGACAGCGTTCACGGAACCGGTGCGGAACCAGCGGGGGGTGAAGCAGACAGACGAGGACAACTAGTTCAGTGACATGTTTTTGTGTATAGGGTTCCTGTCCCACGTCCGAAAAGAAGGTAGAGACAGATCCACACCCGGTGCACACACACCAAGCACCTTCACCGAAACGTATATAGGTAGGCCATGAGCCCAAACGGGAAAGGTAATGAACGATGTTTTTCGTCCAAATCACAGCCTTCTTCTTGGAACTAGCGGTTGATGAGTCAGCAGGCGGGTCAGAAAAAATAGGCACCAAGTGAAGGGTCACATGATCTCTTGAGTCCCCCCTACCTACCCCCTATTTCAGTGTTGCTGATTGGACTTCTCAGCAGGCGAACGTTTGTCCATCGTCCCATCGTCAAAAGGCTCGTAGTTGCGTCATGTTGGGACCTTAGCTGTCTCGTCACCAGCGTGCTGGCACACACGCCCATGCACCTTTCATGGTGACTCTTCAACATGGTCGGTATGGTTGAAGCTGCTAAGCTGCTAAGGTTGAGACCCTTTCTCCTTCGAAGAAGTCTCCGGTACTACTTTGTCAGTTTTCTGCTCAAGTGACTCAGTAGTACAGGATGCATACTTTGTCTCTTGCAGCTGAGCTGAGGAGCGATGCTCAATCCATCAAGAAACAAATGATTCAGAGACACCAGGAAGAAACCTCGAAAGGTGAATCCGTTTGTATAATACACTCTGACACCTCCAAGACAGACCTGGATTCTTCCCAAGATTGATTCTGTTGCGCTCACAGACACCACAATTTCTTGATCCAGGATGTGTTCTTCGGCGCTCCGGCTGTTTGCCCACAACTCACATCCATATTATAGAAACATGCAACCCAAGCAACTCTCACACACACACACCATTACACACCCAAACAAAGCAAAGAGAACAGAAAAACTAAATCCAACAAGTCTCTCACCTCACTTGGGATCCGTCAGCCATGGCCATCTCTTTTCAGCTGCTGGCTCTTGCCATCGTGCCCTTGGCACTTTTCTCAGGCGACATTCCGCTTGCTCCCGGATAGTGTGGAGCCTAAGACATGCAAACATGGTTCAAGCACCAACATGGTGATATATCCGAAGGGTGGTTAGGGGGTGTAACTACCTTCGAAATGATGTGGTTGGAGCCGTAAAGATAGATATCCAAAGGGCTCCAAAGACTTCTGTTTAGGTGTTTACCGACTTTTGGGTGATTGAAAAGGGGGTCAATGCAGGTAAATGTTCCATACAAGGAGTGTTTTGGATTTTTGTAATATAATATATATATATATATTTTTTAATACTATAATTATAACACTATTGCAATTTACACACATGTTATGTCTCAGAGGCGGCTGTGGGAATCACATCCCACAGGACATTTGAGACGTCAGCTGCATCGACCATTGGCCAACCTTGCAAGTCAAACATGTCAACTACATTCCACACTTCAGCGCCGCAAGGATCAAAATCCTCCCCAGTTCCCCGCGACGGAATTCCAAATCCGTTTCTGCAGCGCTCTCACAAAAACTGGTCTTCAACGAACTTGTGTTCCAGTATTTACACCTTTTACATCTGTTTTTGAGTCCCATCCAGTGAGTGGATGCTCGGCCCACCCAAGTTCAGCTTCTGGAATGACGTCGGACCACCAACCAGCCCAAAGATTGTCCTTTTTCCTATGAACATAGAGGTCAATTCTGCTGGGTGTGAGCACTGGCTGCACTGATAAGAGGGGAGTTTCCACCGCTAAGTTCGCAGGTCCAGTGTCCAGCTTTCTCAGATTCTTGGCAGACAGAGTTGGACCAGCATCATACAGTACCCCACGAAACGGGTGATTGGATGGCAAATACCCTATGGATCCACATATTGTCATGTAGGTGGCAGGAGGGTCCAGTCGTAGATTCCGAGAAGGTAGGATTGGTGTTTGGGGATGTCACCACCCATTTCCTTCCAGCGCTGCTGGTACTGTTCTGGCGCACAGTCGTTCTCAGAGGGGGGGTCGATTCACCCGTGCGCCATTGATGCTTTGGCTGGGTCACTGACTGTGCCATGGATTCAAATTTCATCTGAGATGAAGGGGCGAATCCGAACCGGCAAAACCTTGAGTCCAAAATATGGGAATACGGGATACAACACCCCTCAAGGCAAATAGACCAAGACCCACATTGTTTGGCACGTCTCCCTATTCTAATGCGCAGCCAGAACTGTCCATGATCCCTGTGTTTGAGAGAGAGAACACCGCTCACGATGTGCAGAATAAGGTCGTTCACTTGTGGGCCCACTTTTGACACAGAAAGTAGAAAACTCTGTAAAACGACAGGTATTCCATGCAAGGTGTGCTGGAAGCCCGCGTCTCAATGTCTTGTCGGAGGGAACAAGAAGGATGACTAATTGATGGTGTTGCCCAGACGCGACCCTGGATATGGAGGGATCTGGGATATGAAAATCCCCTGGGATATGGAGGGAGCGGTTGGATGTGTCATTTTCCTCAACTTCAGATACCCTCAAGGTTCATCAGATTTTTTGCTGGCAGGTTCATCACTGCACCTAACAGAGACAAATCCAAGTGCTCCACATGCCCACGGACCGGAGAAGATGTTGGGTGGACAGGACCAGCAGACAGGACCTTTGATTCTAGTGAATTGTCGTGATGGTCAGTACCTGGAGCCTCAAAGTACCCTGAAAATTGTGCCTGTGTTTATCTTCCAAGGTGAACAGATGGTTGGGAAGGGACACCTTGGGATGTGCAACATATACCTGGATCCTCCTTTGGGCGGAAAAAAGTGCCGGATCTCAATCCGGCAAAATTTTCCGCCGGATTCCGAAAAAAACGCCGGAGACCTGAAAAAACATCCGGATCCAAGATTCTGAAAAACAGAGATGATAAAAGGCTGGATCATACACAAGCAAACTGCCTTTGCGCCACAAGTAGTTTTTTCTGGAACACACTCATTCCACAACCCAGCACTGGAGCCTTCCCGTTCCCATTGCGCTCGCCCATCTTCCGAATGGCCTAAGAGCAGAACCATCACAAAATACAAGCAAACTTGTGCCCAAGCAAAGACTTCCAAGAAGAAACCAAGGAGTGTGTGGTAAGGAACCCCTATTTCTCTGCACCCGTGTCTCTAATTGTTTTTTACAAAGTGGCTCTCCATGATTCTTATATGGTTTTAAATTGTTTTTTATTGCTTGCCTCAGGACGGCCCCGCCAATAAAGTAGCAGCACTCATGGTTCCTGTCGAAACTCTTAGTTGAAAAACTTTTCAAAATTCAAAAGACTGAGTCCAAAAAAATACGCCGGAGTTACGGGAAATTACGCCGGAGTTACGGGAAATTACGCCGGAGTTACGGGAAAAAACGCCGGAGTTACGACGTGCAATTTTTCTTAGCAACTCTCTGCAAAACATTGAGATTCTGAACAACACATGTTCCACAGCCCAAAACTTGTCCGGCAGGCTCTGCAAACCTGCGCAACTAGAACTAATTATATCCCAGCGCCCCGACATCCTGAAACAATGGGAGTACATCTTTGCCTATGTTCTTTCAGCTTAGGTACACCCACTTGGGTCTTTCAATAGTGCATCGCACTGTACCAATTTCATCCGATTTCACTTAGAAGATCACCTAAACGGATCTGATTGATCCAGTGTGAACCATGCTGAAACCGGTGGAATGAGAAAACAGCGGAACAGGCAAACGAGCACACTTTGCAAGCAAATCATTACCTTCAAAGAAATGCAAGCCACAAAGAATGCAAAACCTTGAGAATCCACATTTCAAGTGACTTGGAAAAACCGCCGGACCAAATCCAGAAAAACGCCGGAGTTGGAAGTCCGGCGCCGGACCCTGTAAAAGTGCCGGACTGAAGATCTAGGTATAGGTGTTAAAGTCCTATATACACACTTGTGCCATTTTGGCTCAAGCGTGGGACCCAAGTTTTTCCCTTCTCTCTCACCCACGCACCCTTGACACCCATTGCGGGCCTTATCGGCTGTGTGTTTGGCTTTGACGGGATGTCCGTTTCTCCCAGGTCTTTCGTACCTGGTTGGGTTGCATGTCAAGGCAAGTAATTAGCGGTATGGCGTCGATGTGTCCGATGACCGACTGACGGAAGAGACCTGATGTCTGGGGCAGTGATGCAGGGTTTTCTCAGCCGAACTCAGGTAGCACCTATTCGTCCGTGAAGGGGGCGTTCTTGTGGCGCTTCTTCCTCTTTCAGCTCTTCAGGCAGGTTTTATTGGTGACTAAAAGTGGGGGCGAGCAATGCTTGGTTTGTCATGTTGTTTTGTTGTGTAGGCTTCGTCAGAGTCATAGTCACTGAATATCCGCCCAAGAAATCCAGACGATCAGGGATTACAGAGTGTCTCCCAAGTTCTCACACACCCGTGACTGCCGTGACGGTATTTTTCCTATGTTCGATGGAGCTCAGATATGTCAGGACTTATATAACTATAAATATATATATATATATATAGCAAGCGTCAATATTTGTTGCCCACGTTCAGATTTCTCTTGATGTCCACTCTTTCAGAAGAATCCTGTTGGGTGCTGCTCAGCTGATCTCAGTCACTGCAGTCACAACTCTCTTCAAAACATATTCATGTTTTGCATACCTGGCATACCTGGGTCAAACGTCACGCTTTCAAGTCACCCCTGGGTGCTGTGATCTACAGCCAGTTAGGCTATGGAAGCTGCCCGCGGGACCTGAACTGGACCATGAAGGCGCAGTGTGCATGACCACCGCGCAACCACCGCGCAACCTGCGCAAACCAACGAGTAGAGTAGCTTGTTGATCGAGCCAAGATGGTGTAGCTTGGTCTTGAGATTGGAGTCGGGCAGCGATAGAGCTCCTCACCAAGGTATACCAAGGTCCTATGGCTATTCTCAGAAGAATCGTGCAAATAAGGGTATGTGTGTGCGTTCAGCCAGACTTGGCTGGCTCGAGACAAGCAGGAAGCTGAACATGACATGACTCGATCAATTTAGAAGTGTAGGGAGATGTAGAGAGTGCACCATGCAGTAGAGTTTAAGGCTTGTGACACAAATAGTGTTTGCATAGTTGTTTGCATGTGGGTTGAAACAACGCATGCCGTATCTATGTTTTGTATCACATGAACATGATCCATACACCAACTGCGCTGCAATTATTTGGGATGGGTGAACTGTGTGTGCGGGACTTACAAGCATCACGCAATACTTCAATGCTCCCTAGGTTTTGAATTTGCATTTATGAAGCACTTCAAAGACTTAAACAGATATCACTGGACCCACCAAATACCTCGGAAGGGTACCCGAACCATCAAACACCTGCATCAGGTGCTTTCAACTAGTAAGTACTTTGGAGGTGGGCACGAGCCATCCTTAGTAGCCAAAGCACATGAATCGGTCCATTAGGACCTGCGATATTTTTCAGTCCAGGCCATCACCTTCTCATCCTCGGCAGCTCTGTCGCCAAGGGCGAGGGTGCAGAGGCACGCGCGGCACGGGCGCGGCGGCCGTTTGCCAAGTCGATACTCGACAGTCGCAGTTCCATAGTTGGGTAACGAACGGAGGATGCCCGACGCCCCTGGATGGGACTGGAAAACCAATCCGACCTGGAACTGCTGACCTACTGTATAGTTATATATATATAGTGCTTTCAGAGTAGATGGCACAAATGTCCAAGGTTGGTAGTACAATCGTGGACCCCATTTGTCTAAGACATCTTGGCGTGCCAGTGCCATCGAACCTTTGAAACCAATGTAAAAGCTTCAGACCTTGGCATATGGACACAGCTTCACGTCCAATCCTGTTCAGGAAGACCCCCAGCAGAGGGAGCGCGGGCCCCGTAAAAGCATGACATGATGTTCTGTAGCAGCAACACATGCAAAGATCCGACTGCGACTTCTGTGGCTTGGGACTTTGGAAGAACATCCTCCCTGCAAGATGACCCTTGGCTCAATTCCGTCGGTGGTTTGATGTGGTTTGCCAAGAATAGTCGACCTGGGGATTTGAGCGATTGCAGTTCTGAAAGTAAATATTTGTGTAAAACTGACCCGTATTTTTGAGTTTCCAGCTGATGGAAACTCCATGTTTGCTTCACTTTGGAGTGACTCAGCCACTGATCTTCTCCGAAACTCTCCAAGTCCCATTGATCTTCTCCGAACTTGGCCAACACCTGCCATCGCCATCGCTTCGCCCCCCCAACTCCAGCACCCCACCCCAGCACCCCCCTTTTGCCCGCGCACGGCGCGCGTGGTTGGCCAGGCAGGACCGGGTCCTAACTTGGGTTGGCCTGCACGCTTGGCGAAGGCCTTGGAGGCGAAGGTTCCTGCTTGGCGGATCCACAACAGAGCGGTGGAGTATACCACGCGACCTGGCGAGAGGTTTGGAGCCCTTAATAGTCGAAAGGAAAGGAACAGCTTGACCTAGGACCAGACCCTCGGCGGCCAAACGGTTGCGGTCCTTTGGGGCTGGTATAGTTTGAGAGGGAAGGTGAATACGGCAGAACAAGTGAGAGCACTTCAGGCTCCGGCCAAGCCGCCAAGCCTGAAGAAGGAGGATCGCTTCTCCATCTTTGGCTGGTGAAGCCCGCTTCTCCATCTCAGGTCGCAGCTGTGGTATGACTTGGTGATGAATAAGACAACGCCAGAGGAATGGAAACACTACAGTGACCTGACATGAGCCGGTCCTGTTCTTTCGGAGGCCGATTTCAGCATGGTCAAAGGAGGCTGACGGGAAGCAGGGCATTAAGGAGGAGGCCCACCTATTCTTGACCTGACCGTTAAGGTCCTTGGAACATGTGTAATTACATGTAATTACTGCTACGTTAGGTAAACATATCGATACACATATAGGAACTAGGTTGCGGTTCTCCAGGTCGCCTGGTGTAAACAAGGCGCCTGGGGAAGTGCTCGATCATTCCCACACGATTTTTCTCACTTGGTCTGCTAAAACCGAATATTGTAACACCCACCGATCTTCATCTAAAGAACATTTCAACACAAAAGCGCAGACGTCGTCCAAGTCCCGGGTCGCTAATTCGATCAAGAATCTAAAACATACGGATCCACTACGAAGAACGGCTGTAAAGGAGTCGGAAAGTCAAAACAAGCTAAACTTCGATCACATTCGAACGCCAACCGCAACAGCAACACACTACACAAACCTAAAACTGCGTCAGAATCCATGAAGCCAAAACTTGCAGGGCATTGAAACATGAAACGAACCCCCCCCTTTCCCTTGCCCCCCGTCCCCCCCTTGGTGGTGCTTAATCATTTCACAAAAACGCAACCAACAAATATAACAAAGTAACCCCTACCATGAAATATTGGACGCAAACAAATGCAACAAAACACTGTAAATACCAATGAAACATGACGAAAAGCAACAAAACACTGTAAATACCAATGCAAAATGACTAAAACGCTCTGCCCAGGCACCCTGCGGGTAAATCAACAAAACACTGTAAATACCAATAAACAATGATGGTAAACGCTAGAAAAATACCAGGCGACCTGGGGAACCGCTAGCAACTACCAGGACCCTCCAAGGGGTGCCCAATGGAAGCCTATAGGTAGTGTGGGGTAGTTCATTGGACACCCCTTGGAGGGTCCTGGTATATTTGTTTGTTTGTGTATATCATCCTTTTCTAGAAGGTTCTTGAAGTCGGGTCCAGATAGAGGAAGTCACTCAAAGTTCAAGAGGAGTCGGTTTGTCGACCAGATCAGTGGAATATGTGGGCCAGTGACTTCAACGTTTCCGTCAAATAGCTTCAGCTGCTCCAAGTTTGATGAGAAGGAAGCAGGCAAAAATCGGGCCAACACCGTTCAAAAAAGCTTATACCGAGACTCAAAGTACCTCGGAAAATGGGTACAGTTGCACCTGTTTTGTAGGGTAATGTCTCATTTACTTTGGAGGGTCCGGGTACTTCTATCCGCAGAGAACCCCTAGATATCTAGGTGACTTGCTCACAGACCTTGTGCGGAAGCAGCTTTCCAAGGCCTGGTCATCCTCTCCTTGTCAGTGAACAATGAAGGCTTCCTACTCACCCAGGACCGAGTGTTTCGGGCTGTGGCATATGGTGGGATAAGTAAAGCGTCTCCCAAGCTTGTCCTTAGTTTTTGGAGAAGCTTGCAGAAAAAAACAGCCGACCTCAAAGCTTATAAAACCATGATAAGACTGGTTTGATCACTGGTCCGTCCCTTTTGTTGAGGCAGTAGCACATTGATGCGCCACCCCATGTGGGGGGGGAAGGTGAAGGTGGGTATGATCTCTCCTCATCTCCGCTCTTGTGGCTTGGCCCACCCAGGAGGAGGAGAAGTTGCAGCAGATCGAACAGCACTTCTTAAAGCACGTGAGGAGAGCAGAGATTGTCAGAGCGGGCCGAGCGTACAGCGAGAGCTGGGGTGAAAGCTAGGGAGGTGCGCTGCTGGGTGGTACGTGGCACGCCTGCGCCATGTCTTCGACATGGAAAAGTAGAAAAGCTACAGAAATGGTCAACCAAGCAGACTAATTACGTAGATGTTCACATCCAACTCACACTTAGGTCATTTCTTGAACATGAAAAGAGTAATTTCTCCCTTTGCTGCCTAGACCCCAGATCAACCATTGATCAATCCTTGGGCAGTTCTATATGTCGTATATGTTCTATCCTCACGGTAGAATACCCGCGGCCAGGATGACGGTCAAGGAGCTGCGCGGGCGCTTGAACGCCTCGGCACGCTTGGTGTTGGCTGGGCCCTATGCCAACGATGGCTACAGCCCGCGGCTTTGCTGCGAGTTTTTCGGGAGGCAGTTGGAGGGCAGAGCTGGCTCACCTTTTGGTGTTACTATATCCCCATTTCCAGTTATCAGTGACCAACATACTAGCTGAGCATGGGCTGTTTCTTTTGTTCTTTAAATGGAAGTCCGAGCTGAAACAGGTGGCAGTGCAGCAGTTCCGGGTGCTTAGATCTATTCTGCGGTTGATTGGAGAGAAACTGGTAATTGACACCATTGTTGTTCCTATCAAAACCATTGGCTCCTAAGACACAGTTCCAATGACCCTAACCTCAGCAGCTTGTTTGGCTCAGGCTCCATGGGACGACATCATTAAGCGTCTTGCAGGAGTCTACGGGGAAATGCTTCGCAATTTGGGAGCGTGAAGAAACATATGTTTGTCTTATCTATCAATGCACATGGGTGCGAAAGACCATCGGTTTAGGTGACCAACGCAGATATACTGTCAATTCATGAATTTGAGACCTTTGATCTTGAGCAACAAACTACCACATAGATCTTGGGTGCTTCCAGACATCTCCGTGCGACGTCTTGTTTGGCCAAGCCCAAGCCTTTCTTCCGAGGAAACACTTCTCCGTGGTCCAGGATATCAAATCGCAGATGTCCAAGTGGGAGGAGGCAGAGAACCCCCACTCCATGGGACCTATAAAATATATAGAAACTGCATTGGAAGCGGCTGAACCAATGTGTGCAAATATGCCATATATATATATATATACATGAGTTGTTGCTTTTACTCCGGAAGATGTTCTGAAGCGGCTGAACCAAGACATGGTCAGTGAACATGAACCACCCTTGCAATGGCTGTCCTGAGTTGGTCTAAGACTCTGGGCTTTTGATCTTTGAACTTGCATGGTCGGTCTCATGAACCCATCTAATTTGGACCCTCACACCCAAGAGGCTGAGATATATGGCATCCAAACATCACTGGGGCCGAGCTACACCTCCCCAACTGGGAATCGCTACTACGGCGAGGTGGTCCATGTGACAGTCTCCTCAACGGCCCTCAAGTCAGTCGCCAAAAGGTTCCCTCATGTTTTTTTTCCAAAATGCTACATGAAAGATCATGACCCTCCAAGCCTACATAAATAGTCTCCAATCACCGAACCTCAGGTTCGGTATGTGGATCCATAGGGGAAAGAAGACGCTGCGAGTTTCCAGACGGCAGGTCAATCATTTCATCGATTTTCTGCAGGCCGGGGGACTGGCGGAGGAACCGTGGGAGACTTGAATGCTTGACCCAAGAAGCATTAAACCATCACCAGGACCTTCAAAGTGACCTCTTTGGAGTCTCTAAGTGATCATTTATCAGAAGATCACTCTGAAGGTCCTGGAGAAAACACACACATCAAAAAAACATTTGCTGACGCAAGGTTGGGCCGAGGTGGTTCCTCCATGTTCTCCTGAGGATGAGGCTGAGTTTGTATAACTTCTTCCATTGAACTGTAATTATTTCGATAGCTTTAGGGGCCTCAGTCGTCCACCTACCAGCTTCTTCAGTTCGTCACCGAACTTGAGAGCCCCAGCCGCCCGTGACCCTAGGTGAAGCTTTTGGCCACCCTGGGTCAAATGGACGAGCCAGGTGATTAGATAAATGTGCTTCATGATGCTTCATGTAGTTCCTGGTGACAAGTCCGGGACCCCCAACAAAACGATCGGTGATAGTGACCAAACACTAGCAAACACTAGCATCTTGCAGGGTCCTTCCCCTATCCACCGAAACTCCGTGCTCATGATGCTGCAAAGTAGTTCTTCTTGCCCACCAAAAAGGTATAGAACATCTCCGAAGCCTTTGGGAAGTCGTTCCATCTAATCTTTTTCTCTGCAGACCTATCGACATCCCTATGACATCGGTTACAGCCACCAATCGTGGCCGTTTTCGTGTGGATGTCCCATGTGAGGAGCCTGCATGTGATCTGAAGGGTCACTGGCCCAGCGGCTACTCTCGATGCTCGACTGGAATCGTAAACGAAGTCAAGAGGTGATCAGAAGGGAAGGAATTCAATATAATAATGCAATACAAACATATTAAATCTTTCTCACTGGCTTTTCTAACACGGTCCAATGATAGCACCACACTCTACACGCATCCAATAATTGATCATATTATATTATATATATCAAGTATTTTTAGGTATTTTCAGCCATTCAGCATACACCCGGGCCTGAAGTGGAGAACTCACCTGGGCCTACTGGGTCGTCTCCACCGGACCCAGGAGATTTTGCACATCCCAACAGCTTGGGACATGAAGGCGCGCTCCCGCATGCGCGCGGAGCCCCGCGGGGGGGTCCCCAGCCGAGCCGACCCCTGAGAGCAGGTCTCCCAGACATGGAAGATTTGCCGGAACCCTTGACCCCTTCTCAACCACCCCCTGACCTGATGCGCCAATATGCCAGTCCCATGGATGGTTTGGAGTACTGCACTTGGGTTCCAGTCGACCGTGGCAGCACTCCGGGTGGGTGGAACGACCGGGCCAACTGACATGGGCGCAGCTCAGCGATCTTCGACATGCACCATGGAAAAACAAAAAACAAAACGTGAAAATTGTCAGCACATATGTTAAAAAATATGTTCAAAGTGTCATGATCAAGTTTTCCACCTACAGCATGAACCGGGCCCACTTGCTTGTTTGTTCAAACATGTCTTGGAAGAAAAGGTGGTTCAATAATGTTCAAAACATGACAGAAATACTGACACCTTCACATGTGTGGAGATTCAAGCATGTAAAACATGTTATCACGAAAGCTAGCACCAGCTAGCTGGAGTTGTCCTTGCTTTAGCAAGTGAGGGGCTGGAATCCTCGGGATCGCCGCATCACGTGAAAACTTCCCCGTGGGTTCAACTCCCCCCTCGGACGCCTCTGGGACACCTCTCGGGCATCTCTTATGGCATCCACTTTGGCTTAACTCCTCCGGGATACGGTGCAACAGATTCAACAAGCTCACAGGTTCGTGAACACATCGGATGCATCGAACAGTGTGGCAAAGTCCAGCCACGCTTCCTTAATTGTCGGGGACTTCAATTCGAAGGTTGGCTGTGTCATTGCTGTTTGTGTGTCTTACATGTTCACAACGTTTTACCTCATGAGCATTTGCCTCACTCCGCTTGATGTCCCACCAGTCCGGATGCACCCCTGCTAGCTTTCGTCACCTACCCTCGGCCTCAAGTACTGCAACAACTGACTGTGTCTCCGTGTCGCCTGTTCTTGCTCCTCGCTTGTTCCGCATGATTATGCGCGCAGGCCTCTTCAAGTGCATGGATCTTCCATCCATCTTCGGTGACTTCTGGTAATTCATGGCCCTCCAGTCTCTCAGCCAGAAGTTGCTGGGAGTGTGAGCCTCTACGAGGTTTCACCTTGAAAACAATAAAGCAACCGGAGCAGCAAGCGTGACCAGTGCTCACCAGGAATCCGTAGTAATCCGTAGTCTCTTGATCCAAATTGTCAGGTTGAGGATGTCCTTGGCCTTAGCTCGACCATTCTTTGGAACCCTGGAGCTTCGAGGTGGTGGGGGTAGGTTTGCGTGGCCTATTGACCTTCTGAGGATGTGGGACAGGAGCCCTGGGGGAAGTATGTACTCACCCCCTTCGACCCGAACGGGAGGTACCTGGGCTCGAAGGCGCTGATACCTGCGTTCGCTGGCAGCGCCTTCCCGTCCCCGACAGTCCGCTGTGGAATCTTATGAAAAGGGACAGGTTTCGGACATGCCCGGACTCATGCGGAGCAGGAATGGAACATTCAGAACACTATATAGGGTCAAGATAGACCTCAGCAAGCAGCGATTGAGCAAGTTTGGGACACGGATATCGCTTTGGGAATCAACTTAACAGGTGTTTGTTTCTACCCAGTTAGCAATGTGTTTCTTGGTTCAAAGAAGTTCAAAGCTTTTTTGATTCCGTCGTTCTCCCACCCACTTGTCCGACCTGTCCACCCACCCACCTGTGAGAGGAGCTGGATATTGAATCCTTCGGTGGGATGCCTAAGGAGCCACGCCTTCACGATGCGCTGCCGCGTCTGCGTCGGCCTGAACCATTCTAGATTGCCCATATCTCATAGCCCTGGGTGCTACGAAGCACAGCTCAGATTTTGCTTGTATAGACCGTTTCATTGACTCAGCCACCTCCCGAGTGGGGAAGGTACTTTTGGTAGTCACGACTACAAGTGCAGACAAATTAGTGGGTCAAACTTAGTGAGACCCCCAGTTGACCATCGATCGCCAGGTAAACGGAACTATGTCGCGTTGGTAAAACCCAGGGCCTCTGTGAAACGGGGTGCATATCTGGACCCGACTTCAAGTACAGAGAAAATGGGACATCACTCATGACCCTGTAAAACAGATAGAATTGCACCCGTAGAGGTACTGGAACCCTACTTTGAGAGGTATATTACATTGGCCCCTTTTCCCGGCGGGGTGTCCAACGATCTGCCACAACTCTCAAAGATGGACATGGCCTAAGGGATCTGAATGCTTCTGGACCGGAACAATCGGCCCCGATATCGGCACCGATATCCGGTCTTTGAGGTCGAGGGACGGGTCGGTCCTTTTGGGAGCGGGAGCCAACGAGAATACCGAACTGCCTCACTACACAGACAGGTTGGTAGCAAGCCTGGAAAAACAGGTCCCCCAGCCGTTCCCCTG